ATATCAGATAATGTCATTAGTCTACAGAATTAGAAACAAACTACATAATTTAAAATTAAAAACTTTGCACAATCAACTTCAATATAAATGATTAAGACTAACTCAAAAAATATTGGTCAGACCTTGATAAAGTTTCTATGGGACCACATGACCACAAAAATCATTGAAATCGGTTCATCCAGAAAAAAGTTATGAGGTAACAAACAAAAAAAAGAAACAAAATGGAATTGAGTACTTCCTCCTTTTTGAAGTCGGTAGAAAATGAATGTAAGTTGTTGTCTTAAATATTAATTTATTACCTTCTTTTATAAGTTTATTGAAATCAAAGCCCTGTGAAGCCAGAAAGTCCAAACTGGAGCTCTGACAGAGAAACATTTTTTCTGGCCCTGGACGACCTCGTGGAAACAAGTAGAAATTGTAAGCGTCATTCATATAATGATTTTCCTTTTCATCCCAATAAAAAGCACACAACCCATACTGAATAAGTAAAAACTCTGTAGATCCATTGAGCAGAGTTGTGTAGTACTCTTGCGGAGAATCAAATATCGATACGTCCCGGCCGTTTATTAGGCCCGTAAATTCAGCATCTATTACTAAAAAATCTGCTTTATCTATAGACTCACTTATCAAAGGAAGACTCTCCTTAAAATCTGTAAAATATACTAAATTTAATATCAGCCATACGGTTAACAGTAAACAGTACTAATATTGCAAGAAACCCACTCTTTCTGGTCACCTCCATTATTAGAATGTATGGATAGTTAAGGTAACATTGACAAATACTTTTAATGTTGATTTCTATTTAGTATGTAAATAATATAAATAAATACAAAAACGTATACAACACGCCAATGTCCAGTTTTTGTGAAACTGAAACTGACATTTATTGCAGAAAAGCAAAGGTATCTAGGGCCATACAGCCTAGTCTGACGTGGTTTTTGTTTACAATCTGATGATGCGTTACATTATTTGCAAAGGTTTTAAGACTTGAGACTTTAAGATTTCAACTTTTGTTTTTGAGAGATTTAGATAACGGTTTAACTTTGCAGACTATGATGACGGTAGAATATCAAGTCGCGGTATGAAATAGGACGGCCTATTTCATATGCCATCACCGTTACCCTTACAGCCTATTAAAGTCCACTTCTGAACATAGGCCTCTCCTATGGGATGATCCCTCTACTATCGACTCATAGGGGGGATATTTGCCATAGCTTTTTTTTGTTCTCGGTTGTTATTAGGGAGACGCTGAAGCCCTTTTCCTGATTTTATTTTCCTTTGTCGTCCGTCGGGGATGATATGGGATAGTGGATATTCTTACTACGCTACTACTTGGTAAGTTTCATACATATATGCACTGTTATTTAATTACAATCTACAAATCGTCTCTAAATGGTAACTTGAACCAACACCTCATGCAACGACATTGTGTTGTCTGCGCTCAAGCTGCGCGAACGTATTCATCGGTCGAGCCCAAGCGCTCCCGTGTTTTAGAGTGCTATGGTGTGCGTGACAATAACATACAATTACTCGGAAGTGCTTCAGTGGTGTTTCTGCGTCATTGCTGCCGTCAGGTTGAACCGGGTCGTCGGCCCATTGTCCATTTTGTGTTGTGATTAATGTAGTGCCCCACGCTCTACCGATTTCCAGTAACCGTAAAAAGCTTATTACAGACCGCCGCCTCATAGGCGCCTATTCTATTATACACACCCTAGCATACCTACGGGCTAGGTGTATAGATGTTTGCCTTGGGCACACACTTCCCCCGCCGTAAGGTGGAGGGGGCTTGGTACACAAATTCTTTCTTTCTTATTCTTTTTCTTAAAAAAAAAAGTTAACCCCACACTAGGATTTTCTCCTGTATCGTGGAGGCAGTTTACAAACATAAATTGCACAAGGACAAACATCCTGACCCGGAACAATTATTTGTAGGCCATACAAATACTTGCTCCGTGCGGGATTCGAAGCCACAGCCCCAAGCGCCGGAACTCATTACTAAGCCACTGCGCCACGGAGCCGTCACAAGTGTTTAAGCCTTGACAAGATGACGGCTGTAACGACAGCCAAACTCACCGACTTTCTCAGTCACGTCTGCCCCGACGTCTGGGCGACCTTTTTAGCGCAGCGAGACATGCCCGCTGCTGAACATCTGATCGTGCATATCGACGACCCCATTTCACCTAGCACCGGAACTGCAACCCCCGAGTCCATAGACACCGTTTATGACGTAGCGTCCCCCACGCCTTGTGCAATGACTTCTTTCTACAATGACATCGGCACGTTAACACTTGCATTAGAAATAATCAGTCCCATGTCGACTGGAGCCCCTGTATTCTATGGACGATTTTAATAAAAGGAGGAATAATGCATGATGTTTTAATTTTGATTAGTAATGTAATATTCGTATAGATTCATTGCGTTAAATGTGTTGCATTAACTAGTTGTCATCCCGCATAAATTGAATATTATAAGAATGGCTTTACCACATTTCATAACGTTTTTAATAAAGATATTATTAGAGAGAAGCAATCTATCTTTCAATACACATTCCTGACGCTCTGCAATGGCGGAATAGCCCAACTGCCCCCATCAACACCCGGAACGCGAAATTATATTGATTCCGAAGGGCTCCGAAGTCCCGCTGCATATAGTCTCTTAAAAGGTTGCATGTGTATCGGGAGATACAATACGTGTTCTTAATTAAACTAATTGCATTTAAAAACAATAATAATATACCCATTGGATATCGCCAAACAAACCCAAATTTCAGTAACTGGTTATAAAGTGCAGCTTAACCAAGGCGAGAGTATATAACTTGTCTGTTTCGATTGCGATTCGAAGTCAAAGTGATCGAATCACTTCATGTCTGTGAACTCTGTGCTGTTGGCTGAATTTGCATAGGCCACTGACCTCTATTATACAAGTACGCTGGACTGGCTATATAAGTGCCGTGTAGGCGTGTGTATCTCTTTACGGAAACGACTCACTGATACGAATCACTGAAGTGACACAAAAGATTGGTTCAGTAACAACGTTTCAAATGTATCATTTGTATCTAGAACAGTGAAACATTACTTTGCTCTTTGCTCATTTCACGCGACGCGTCGCTTGCGAGGCGACTGAGATACGAGCGAGAGAGAGAGACTGAGACAATGATTAACTTAACTATTGACTCACGAGTGAGCGGGCGAAATAATTATAATTCACACAAGTCAGATAGAGATAACAAATAAGAAGTGTATCACTCAACTCGTACGGATTTTCGCTGACGTTATTAATGCACGTAAAAATTACCACTAAGGCGCTTATGTGTCAAATACTATAGGTCGTTTTTTGTATGTAATGTTTGCATTAACAAGTTGTCATTTTACGTTGATGCGGCACTTGTCAAATTGTTTATATTCATTAGCGCCTGTTTACGAAAACATACTGAGTTATCTTTAGGATTTCTTTGCGTAGTGATTATTGTGACTTTACTTTCTTCCTTTTATCATAAAGTTTAGAGTTATAATACTTTACGAGTAAATTCTGTGTACATAGACATTGCTGTTTTGTGTAAATGGACATTTTTGTAAATAATGAATTGACATAGTGACATTTTTGTTAAAGTATGATAGAGAATCGATTTTATATACAATCTTATTACGGTACACAATAAATAATTTAAGCACTTATATTATTCAGCATTGTTGCCACATAACATTTCACGGATCAGTCAGTAATAAACGCCCGTGACGCAACTTAATGTATTCGGAACATTCTTTCTTTTATATCTTTTGAGTGGATGATACAAATGAGCCAAATGAAACATTCAGTGTTTCGGAACATTTCAGTGATCAAGATGCAAATGTTCCAATTCCAAAAATGATACACTTTGCCCACCTCCAGTGCCGTGACATAATGAGTCAATTTGATTTCCACCATTTTGGCGTATTACACTATACTTCCTTCTGGTAACGAATTTTACATTATCATTGTTAAATAAATCTATATGAGTATAATAAAGCAGAAGAGTTTTTATTAGTTTAAACATGCTAATCTCTGGAACTACCAGTATTATTTGAAAAATTATTTTTGTATATAATAACCACATTCCTGAGGAATAGTATATGCTAACTTAACATTAGGCTACTTGTCTCAGCTAGATTTCAATATTAATTTTTGTTATGAGTAAGCAAGTCTGAAGGAGAAGCGCTCCTGAACTCTGCTTTATCTGCGTGCGCAGATAGCGCTAGTGATACGTAAATAGAATGTTCTACAAAAACATTTATCTTTTTTCCATCTAGAAAAAGTTCGCGATACCATATGCCTATTTCTTATATATAAGCCCCAAAAGGTACTTTGTGACAAGCAATATTGAAAATTAAAAAAATATATATGAGCGTTATTATTAAGCATGGTATATTAATCCTTACGAACGAAAGTCACTTCATAATTAAAACTATTTTGTGAAGATGATTTTTGCTCTTTACAGCATGTTGTTAGGTAGCATAGTTGAAAAGATTTAGTATAAAAAGCAGCTTAACGCAGCTGTTTCGTATGGTGAGTGTAGAGAACCGAAGACCCTTTTTACTGGAAACGAGGCATTCCATTTTAGTCTACACGGGTGGAAACGCATCTGCATTTTGATTCGTAATTGAGGATAGATGTAGATGTCTATAGGCCACAGCAATCAGTTACCATCAGGTGCTGTGTGCTCGTTTGTCATCATTATTCTATGATAAAAAGAGAGATAATAAAAAAAAAAAATATTTCAACTCTCGACTCGGTGCGCGAGTCACGCCGCCCGATGAGAACCAAGAGAACCAATATATTTTAATACCACATGAAAATGTTACTGAAAATATTGTCTCTACTGCAACATTATAAATTAATCAGTGACTAGTTGAAACCGCGGGGTACAGCTAGTTATACAAAAGGGTCAAATAAATAAAAAATATAGATGAAACATGTATTTTAATGTTATCAATGTATTTTCTCACACATTTAACAAAATATACTCATTTCAACATTTTCTCAACATGACTAGAAAGCCGCTCGTAGGCGGCCTTGTTTCTATAAAGATGTATATTAGACTTCACTTTCTTAATTAAAAGCCGAGGATCTATGTCGCTAAGAGTTATGAGAGCATCTGAAAAATTAAATTAACCTTAAATTAACAAAACTCATAATAAATAATTCACAAAAAATAATGATTTCGTGAATTTTCAAATTTAAAAATAATCGCAACATCTGGTAGGCGGTGGTAGTGACACAACTTCCTGCGTGTTTACCCCTAACAACATATATTTCTAACTAAAAGAAGAAGTTTAGGTATCTTAGTTATCAAAATTCGAGACAGATTTCTAGACTGATTATGATAAAATATTTTGTAAATGATAAACATATAATTAATATTATTATGGATAAAAGTGTAGGGCCACCCACTAGAGTGACGATCTGGAAAGAGAGAGTCGATAGGTGCAGTTAGCTCGGGACCGTACTTTGTTGCGTTTCTTGGGAGAGAAGTAAAATACCCAGACCGAAGACAAGGGGCAATGTCAAAGGCGCTTACTATCTAACCACCCTAAGCAAATTGGTATGGTAACCATATAAAAGAAGAGGTCTTTGCCCAGGTGTGGACCTAAGAAGAAGGAAAAAACTGTATTTCACTTATGGATAATAAACGAAAGGGGGAATATATGTGTGTAGCATGAGTTTATATATATATATATATATATATATATATATATATATATATATATATATATATATAACTAGCTGGTACCCGGCGCATTGCTACCGCAGAAGAAATAATTGAGGAAATATCGTTTTAAATTTGAAAGGTTTATATTGTTTAACTAGCTTTTACCCGCGGCTTCGCTCGCGTGCGCTTGAATTTAGGGACATCATTAAATGCTGTTCCGTGTCAAATTTAGAAATATTCGATCACTTTTAGAGTCACCTTGGTGTCTATGTCTCTATGTCTGTCAGAGATTTTTTTTCATTCTAAAATACTAATAGTATTAATAGATCTATAATAATGAATACCGTACATGGATTAAAACTAATGTTACGGATTTTTTACGCATCTTGACTCTAGGGAAGTCTAAAGTATGTATTATATACAACAAATCCTTGCAATAGAACACCGAATCCTACCAATGATGATTCGCGAGGCTATTGAAATTAAAAATATCCTAATTTTAATATTAAAAGATGTCTGAGTGCTACTATCTGCTAAGGATTCCATGATTTTTTAACTATTCTATTTTAACTATGACATCAGGTCGTCAAACACCTCAGTTCTCCCACCCCTCCCGTGACCATGAGTGCTGTAAATTGCCCAAACCATCGGGAATTTAAAAAGTTAAAATTAAACGCGATAAAATCCTTAAAATTACTTTTATTCGTTATAAATTTTATACACAGTGAACGTGAGGAACACTGCACTCATGAACGGAAATAGAAAAATGTTCGCACTGTTGTGGCGGTGAAAGAAAATCCAACACATCATATCGTCCCGTCGTAAGAGGCGACATAGGAAAAAAATAGTAGATGGGATAATCTGCATCATCTTCTTGACAACAGATCAAAATAATAATAGCTGCGGTTGCCAACCCGCCACTATAGCAAATATCCAGCTACTTGACAATTTATGGGGGAGGCCTAAGTTCATTTCAGTGGACTTTTGATAGGCTGACGAAAATGAGTTCTACTCATCTTTGCAAGCCTTAATATTTACGGTAGACTGAAAACATAAATTATCATACCCGAAAACACGAATGAAATAAAAACTGCATATATTGCCCCATGAAAAGTAAAAAAGCAGCTTACATACATGCTACTACTGGGCACAGGCTGTAGAGTTTTTGGCCAAAAAAGAGTTCGCTGCACTGATTCCAACGCGGGATGAACGTAATGTAAATGATTCAATTATTTACATCGTATATTCAGTAGCATTGTATTATTTCATTTTATCAATGTCTTGCCATTTTAATTTATTTAGAAGTAGGTGGCGCTAATATTACATGAAATAATGAAAGGCAAAACTATACCATCTAGTAATATCAGCAATAGAAACGAACATTTATTTATTATATCAATAAGGGATAAAGTGATGTCAATTCTCTGAAAAGTTCTGTTTCTGTTAAAAATAAGCTATCAGCGCCGCTAGCGGTGAAAAACGATAATGATATCGTCATATGACCATATTATGAAATAGCAACGTTGTGTTTAGTTATTAATAACTTAAAAAGATTTCTATTCATTGATTTGGTCAAGCTATATCATGACACGATCATCAAATAGTGTTAAATACACATTCATTTCAGCCGTTTTTTCAGTGTTTTCACGAAATGATAGACTACTTTATGATATATGATCAATTCTACGATCTGGACACGACATACATAAAAATCTCTTTAATAAAACTATGATGATAATGAAAATTTTGCAACAATTGCAGACAGACCAATTTTTATCACTTTACATATATATTAGTAATTGAAATAAATACCTTATCAATTTTCATATTTTTGATAGACGTCACTAATATCTATTAAAAATACTAAAAAACTGAACGTTACAATTTTTTAATAATTTTAAAAATCTAATAATTTAATCATATAAATGTAAGTTATTTATATTATTTCATTTATTAGTAACTGAAGGCAAAATATATAACTTTCCCATTTGATGATAGATGGCGCTGTTTTGAATACGAAATCGGTGTAGTTTCAAATTATTTTACCAAGATTATAACTATATTTTAAACTTTATTTACAAATATGGTAATATGGTATTTATTTGAAAAACACCCGTCATTCCGCCTATAACTAAGATACAACAGAAAATTAACATCTAAAGGAAATTAATATACTTAACCTTCCTTTTTTGAAGTTCCGTAATCGGATAAAAAGTAGCCTATAATTTGCCCCGGGTTACTGACTACCTACATACAAAATTTCATGTAAATCGGTTCAGTAGCTTTTGCGTGAATCCGAAATACACAGACAGACAGACAGACAGAGAGACAGACAGACAGATAAAAATTCTAAAAACCACTAATTTGGCTTCAGAACCCTTTATTTAGTCCCCTGGACTTGTTTTTTCAAGAATATATTAGAATTACAGACACGAATTTTCTACAGATTTATTATATGTATAGATTAGAAATGATAATACATTAATTGAAATTGAATGATATATAATATAAGTTTCAAATAAAATTGTCGGTACGATACGCGCGCCACATACTGTAAGTTAACTATACTGTGCCTATAACCATAGCGCAAGTGCAAGCAATAAGTTGACAAAGTTTTAGCGCAATATTATAAACGGTATGGCAGTGCCTAAAATACGTACGAGCAAACAAATATTAATTTTTATTATATTAAATCATTACCTAACATCTCCTTGCGGAACGCCTCGTCTGGATCGTCGAGATGTATCAACATGGCGCTGTATAATGCGTCGACATGTGCGCCGAACACGACGGTGTCGTACGGACGCGGTCGGTTCGCGAACAACACGCACAGCGTTCGCACCGCGAATGAACGCACTTTGTCGCTGCTATCGTCTAAGCGCTTTAACACCACTGCAAATAATTGGATAGTTGACACCATCACTAATAAATGACCAAATAATTTGAACTATTAATATAATAGCGCGCAATATACTTAAGAAGGGTAACAATGTTTACTTTTCACGTTTTGATATATAGATTGGCTAGTGCTAGTGCATAGTGTCGTAAAACTTGATCAGTTTAATGACAGGTTAAAATACAAGGAAGTAAACCCTTTTACTGGCTTATAAAAATCTTATAAAATCGGTAGAAAAAGCAATTCTGACAACTTATATAAAGTACTTTAATTGTCATGGGTGACTCTTTCTCCCCTTTTGTACAAAAAGTGTAATAGACACACCCTTAAATGCTGACGTTATTTTTAAGTTGACATAACGCCCAAACTCTCTAGCTTCGTGTCCAAGGTTTGCTTTATAGGAATGCAGACAGAGCTAGAATAGCAAGTAGCCAACTCACCGAAGTATAATTTATGAAGAGCCTCTACCGCGAAGCAATCACGCTGCTTAGCAAGCGAAGCGAGACAGCAAATCGCGCGCATTGTGTGTTGGCGCGTCAGCGTCGAATTATCGTCCGCCAAACTCACCAACAAAGGAACAATATGGTCTATGAAAGGCTCCAAGGATTCTTTGGTGGCGAACAAATTCACTTTCTGAAAGAATACGATTGATTGAAATAATAATAATTCACAGATCGCCATAAGAGATGAAGAAGTAATACGTTGTTTGTGTGTGTGGATATCGTAAACAACTTCGATTTGACTTATGATACGACTAATGAAAATATACAAAATGTATCCACCACTAAATTCAAAAACATTATCATAATAAAGATTGTATAAAAAGAGTAATTATAATAATAACTAATTTATGGATGGTAATAACCCCTGACAATGAGATGATCGCTACCAAACTATTTTTAATTTGTTTTATTTAGTTAATTTTGTAACATAATAGGTATATTATGTTTGTAAACTGTTTTTTTTTCTCAAAACGATACGTCCCGCTAGGTTTCTGGCTGGTTCTTCCCAGGACAGAGGTATCTTTCGAATCGAAGTAAAACACAAGAATGCCTTTAAATAACTATTATTAATTATCTATATTGAATTCAAAAAATCTATTTCTAAAGTAAAAGTATATATTGTTTGTGTGTGTATGGATATTCGACCACACACAAAGAAATATAGTTTGAATACGAATATGTTGTTAGTGTGTGTGTGGCTGTTGTAAATAACTTCGTTTCAACTATATAATGATACGAACAAAAAGTTTCTATTGTTTGTCTGCGTGAATTTTCGAGCACTAGACAAACAATAGAGTACAAAGTACATTTGTAGTTTTTCTAAGGTTGACTAGCAGATAATGTTTTTAGCATTAAATCCACTTTGTGATCCAATCAAGAAACAATCTAGGTAGATAGGAATAATTTTTCTGATTATTCTATTAATAAAACATAATTCGAATGGTTGTAAGAATTTTAGTATACTCATACTTTGAATTAAATTGAATACAAATGCTGCCGCAAATATCTATAAGAACTTTGTAATTCCTGCTATGCATTTTTGCGCCCGTTCAAATCAAAGAAGCCCTATACCTATAACCCCTAAAACATCGTTTGTTCCGAACTTACATTTTTATGCGAAAATACGATGAAATCTAAATCCGTATTAGCTGCAGCAACACTGTGTATACTATTAAGTTTTTTTATGTAGTTTATACTATAGTAAAAATTCCATTGACCGATATTTTATAAAATTCACAAATCGAAGCAGAGTACCTTCTCGATACTGTCACCATCTGCTCCGGTGTCAACGAGCTCTCCATCAGCTTGCGGGTCGTCTTGCAACGCCGAACAAAGACACGCCACAGCAGCACTGCGAATTGCCTCCGCGGTTCTACCAGGCGCCCATACGAGGTTTGGCATAATTACGTCTAAATTGTAGAAAAAAAAAACAAAAAGTAGCAAGACATGTATAAGAAAACAGTTACAGACAGAAACAGTGTTACGAATGACATTTATTACAAAAAGGAATAAAATAGTTTGTAATAGGTTAACGAAAGAACGAATCTATGCCATATATTATATTTTTCAAATTTATTGTGTTTTCATTGACATTTTATCAAATTGATCTATCAATAAACTTTTTTTTAACTTATTGAAGCCAGTGCTTCAGCACAATCCCACCTGGTGGTAAGTGGCGTTGAAGCCCTAGATGGTAAAACGCACTGTCTTAGCGTAACAAAAGCCTATTGTCTCGTGCCTTGGAGACGCCCAGATTGTATTTGGACGGAAGAGCAGACACCGGCAAATCATTCCACTCCTTTGCTGTACGCATTACAAAAGATGAAGCAAACCGTTTGGTTCTAATGCGTGGAATATCGGCTAAACTAAACTGAACAACTACTAATGTGAACTAAACTTTACCTTTTACCTGGCGGCCAGTTCAAGGTCAAGAGTGTTTTCATTTATACTTCATTTACGACAAATTCGTTGATACATCCCATTCGCAAAGTAAGGCTAATCCGTTATCCATGGTTTAAATTTCGTTATTTGTAATCGTTTTTTTTAAATTATTTTATTGTTTATAGATATTTAAAAAAAATAAAAATTATCTATGCCATTACCTGTGGAATATATCCTTTCATGTTTCACAGTTCGTAACTCCAATTAGCTTATAGTAAAAGACCGCTACTTGGGCACCTTTCGTCCCCAAAGAAAAACAATCTAACAAAAATAATAAACGTTCGTATTCAACTCTAAGAATAGCTTGCATTTCATCTGGTCATTACTCGGTTTTCATTCATTCATTGAAGGTTTGGTGGGAACTTGACCGGCGGCGGATTGCTGTTTCTATATTATTGCTTAAGTAATGGTTTGAAGTGAATTTTGATATGGTAAAAGTTGTGCCATTTTGTGTATTAAATGTCTGCGCATATGAACTATTAGTGAAAATGCATGTGAACTATTAGTGAAAACAGTGAAACAAGTGCTGCGATATTGATGTGTATGTCAAGATAAGGTGTCTGTCTGTTTAGGCGCCTTGAGATACTATCGCCAACTGTCTGTTGGTTCAAGTTGCCGTTTAAATTTCCCAAGGGCTGCGCAATGTGACTCATCAACATACTGTGAAGCAGACTACTATAAAGGATTATTATCACGTGATACTGAGATAAATGAAGACATGGCTTAAAAGACAAGCATCCAAGCCAAAAATCTTAATTGAAAAAATCATTAATTCATTCACTATAGGCTATCAAAAGTCCATCGCTGAACATAGGCCTTCCTATAGATTGCCTTTTGGAGGGGATATTGGCCATAGTTGCCAAGCGTAATAGGCGGGTTGGCAAACGTATTTTTTTTATTCTGTGGTCTGAAATTAGTTATTAAGGAGATGGAGCATTATTAGGAAGATGGGCAGTAAGCCCTTCCCATGGTTTGTTTCCCTCTGACTGAGACAACCACGGGACGATATGAGGTAGTGGACATTCTTACACCGCCACTACACAGCTACGAGACCACACACTAAAAAATTACTTCCCCAAAAAAAAAACGACGCTCAAAATAAACGTACCTTGGATAACAACCTTAAGGAACGCCTCTAATTTATCCATTTCACACTTGCTGAAATTAGTCTGCCGTCGCAACAACACCGTGGATAAAGCTGTGAACACCTTCAATTTGACCTCGGGGTCGACCTTCGGTGTTGCCAGGCACTCTTTCAGCAAGGGCGCTATAAGGTGTAACTGTTCACCCATTGCGTATCCTGTAAGAAAAAGACAACGCTAGCAGAAAAGTTAGTAATTACTAGTTGTCGTAAATATTTTGTGAAACTACTTGCTCTCCTTATTTATAAAAAAATAAGACATCTAGATAGTTGGCTGCCGCTCTAGCGGATTCTAATTGTGCACGAAACAAATATTATATAATATATACATAGGGCCTGCTGATAATTGTTCCAAGTCTGGATGTTTTTTGTGTGCAATTTATGTATGGAAATGGAAAACCATAAAGCCCTATGGTTTTCCATACATACAACTGCACACTATTGGGCTTGAATCTATGTTCTACCGTGAATAAATATAAACTATTTATTACTTTCTATTAACTCACCGACGAAATAATTTAATTTATATTATACGAGTTCTAATCCGAAGAATACCTTTCGTCGTGACAGTGCACCTTGCTTAATGTACTTAATGCAGAGTTCGAAACGTTGCTGGTTCAATATAAAAGCTATAATTAACCTTTTTTTTATTCTTTCAAATTTCTTGAATGGGGATTATGTTTAGATCAAAATCCACAGCTTTAGCCGCATAGTTGGCGCGCTTGGCAAACGGATAATCAATAGAATCAGGTGTTACGTTGCGGAAAGTCCATTATATTAAAGTTGGCAAAAATTACGTGCACTATCACCGTCACCACTAATCCTAGCACCACTACTCCCAACACCACTACACTAGGAACGGCTGACGGACATGGCTGACCGCTAAGTGACTTAGCGGTCAGCCACCGCAGTCTAGATTACCTGAAGATGCCTCGTGTAGAGGCGAAACACGTTTCGTATTGTCGTCAGTGGTGTGTCTTTCCTAGTGTAATGGTGTTGTGAGTAGTGGTGACGGTGATAGTGCACGCAATTGAGGGAGGACGGGAGGTGCTCTTAAAACTAGGTAAGACACATCGATTTATTTTATCGAGCGGATGTAAACGAAATAATTATTTGCCAACTTTAAAACGGATAGTCAACCGCAGTTTTTTTTTATTATTTTGAGTTGAAATCAGGAAGACGGCGCTGCTCATTACCGGTTTCATTTACCTCTGTCGTCTGTTAAGACACCCACGGCATGATTAGGGTCGTGGATTCTCTTACAACGCACATGGCACATATTTATGCTACCATGTTATATATATTATAGTAGTATAATCGTAGTATTGTAGGTAGCAGTAACAAGGCATTTCATCTTAGTTATTTTTTATTAATCGAGGCAAGATAGATGTAGATGTATGTGGCACTTACTTCACTATCACTACAGTGCTTCACAAGTAACTGCTGAACATAGGCCGTCCCCAAGGAACGCCACAAAACACGGCCCTGAGCCCTACACTTTACTAACCAGTACGAGGCTGCCTCTACTCGAGAACCTTTCTTCCCCAACGGTTGTCGCTTCTTCGAGCTATATGACCGGCCCAATGTCACTTCACCTTAATGATCCGGTGGGCTATGTCGGCTACTGTAATTCTATTGCGGATATCTTCATAACAAATTCTATCATATCCCGATCTTAAAAACAATAGTTGGGTTTTTGAGTATGCTTGCGGAGCCACACTCAGCGATAGCAAAATCATTCATTTCTATATTCTTACCACATCGATTCTCTTTTTCTAAATACTTATGATTTTTGCAACCGAAACAAGGTATGGTACCTACATACATTGTAGGATAAAAGCCTTTTTTAAATAAAGATAGCAATAGTTTGTATTTTTATACAAATGTTTGCTCCAGCTGGGTTGCGCATTCAGAGCTCGCCTCGTTGGTCAAACTGCCATATATGGTGGTGAAACTGACTGGTTCCTAGCACCTTTAAGGTGCAACTGTGATCAATGCTATGAGCTTTTTTTTATTAAAGGCACGCACCTGCATGTAATAACACACATTCAAGCAGACATCTGTCGGGGGTCAGCAGAGTCCAGGTCAACGCGTCGCTGGTTATGTCGACGAGAACTCGCCGCATGTGGCGTTCGTACAGACTTGTCAGCGTACGGCCGCACTTCTCCAAATGACGAAGCTTGTCCAAGTTTGCTATAAAAAAAAAACGTTCAGCGAACAGTACTTCATGTATACACCGTGTAGTGGCGATGTAGGAATATCTACTACGCCATATCATGCCGTGGGTGTGATATGAGGCGACAGAGGGAAACGGAACTAGGAGATAGCGAGCAGCATCTTCCAGACAACACCTGAATACATATAAAAACGGTTGCCAACTCACTTGTCAAACTTGGCTCAAATCTCTCCTATGAGGTAATTTTTTATAGGAAAAAGGTAACAAACGAGCACACAGTCTACCTGATGGTAAGTGGTTACTGTGGCCCATAGACATCTACATCTATCCTCGACTATGAAAATGCAGATGCCACCCGTGTCTTGTGTTTCTTTGTCATTCGTAAGAATTAATTGTAAGAATGATTGCCTCGTTTCCAGTAAAAGGGGTCTCCGGTTCTCTACACTCACCATACGAATCGCAGCAGCGTTAAGCTGCTACTTTACGCTGGTATTTTGTGACAACGTGGTCCTTCCCCGGTCGAGCCGACCCATTATTCATGCACTCTAGCTGCAGTGTAGTTCTACCACGTATTAAAATTATAATGAATCTATGGATGAGTCATATGTTCAGCATCGGAATATTAATAGGCTGTAATGTTTATGGTGAAACAGTACTTTATTGCTTTCGCTTACCAAAGATAAATGGAAATTTTCTACTTATAATCAACATAAAATAACATACACCCCAATTTCATCACGTGGATTTTCTAAGAAGCTACTATGAGAACAGCTAGAAAGACCTGATAGCCTCCAATAGTTGGTGTACCATCTCGTTTATGTCAGATCAGATGCATAATAACGGAACCGGTGACGATTAGCAGTGTCAGACGCCTGCCAAGCGTTACGATTAAGGTAAGGTTACGTGGTAGAGCCACGCTGCAGCTATCTTATGGTTGTAGCATGAATGGGTCGGCTCAATCAGGGTAGGATCACGCCCTCACAGAATAACAAAGTAAAATAGCAGCTTAATGCTGCTGTGTTTCGTATGGTGAGTGTAGAGAACCGGAGACCCTTTTTACTGAAAACGAGGCATTCCATCTTATTCCTCAAGGGTGGCAAACGCATCTGTATTTTGATTCTTAATTGAATATTAATGTAGATGTCTAAGGCCCCACCTACCACTTATTTTACTTATTAAAATTGTCTTGATGATGAAAGTTATTTTTTATGAAGATGATTTTTGCTCTTTATAGGATATTGTTAGGTAGCATAGTTGAAGAGATTTTACGTGGTAGAGCCATAGTTTTAGCACGAATGGGTTGGCTCGACCGGGGTAGGTCCACGTTTTACAGAATACCAGTGTAAAAAAGCAGCTTAACGGAACTGTTTCTTATGGTGAGTGTAGAGAACCGGAGACCCTTTTTACTGGAAACGAGGCATTCCATTTTAGTCCACACGGGTGAAAACGCATCTGCATTTTGATTCGTAATCGAGGCTATCCTCGACATCTATATGTAGATGTCTATGGGCCACAGCAACCACTTACCATCAGGTGGACTGTGTGCTCGTATGTCACTCTTATTCTATAAAAAAAAAGGAATTCCTACAACGGAAGAAGTCCATGTCCAATAGTGGACTTTTTAAGTGATACCTGCCCTTGTGTTAGGATAGCATATGAGTCGTGAAAAGGTAACACCAGATGTTTTAAGCCGCATCCATACAAAGTTAGGCAGAGTCTTTAATCTTTATATATAAAAATTACGTGTCACGTTGTTTGTCTGCGATGGACTCCTAAACTAATGAACTGATTTCAATGAAATTTTGCACACTGTGTGCAGTTTGGTCCAACTTGAGAGATAGGATTGTTCTTATCCCGTTAAGTGACCCTCAATATTTTTTATTGGTAATTTAAGGATTTTTATAGGACAAAGTCGGAGAGGGCAGTACGACGTCTGCTGGCCAGCTAGTTTTTCTATAAAATATAATAAAATACTTACACACGGCCATGAATTGTATCTTATCGTCAAAAGGCATGGCGTACACGGTGAAATTAATGATGAATAATTCTTCAGCCACCGATACGCAATCTTCCTTACAGAGGTTCATCAAAGCCTCGGTCACGTGCAGAAGGTTCGTTTGGAACTTAGGCTGTATACAGATAATGATCATTAGCAGGTTGTTTTCGACAACTGACAACATTTACTATGATATAACACGTTGATAGGGTCATAGATGGTAAACACGTTATTTAAAAAAAAAAATTCTTTTATTCTTGCTTTCATAAGGTTCCCAAATTGACGTAGTTTATACCACTGACGCAGGAAAAAAATTACGAACTGCTATGTACATCAGAAACATTTAAGTGATAAGCTAGTACTAAGAGCTTTCTTGTTTATAAAATTATCTCTAATTTCAATTTAGATTTACTTTAAAGTTTATTAACTTCTCATATGCAGCTATATAAGTAGTATAGTTGTAGCACGAATGGGTCGGCTCGACCGGGGAAGGACAACGCTCTCACAGAATACCAGCGTAAAATAGCAGCTTCATGCTGCTGTGTTTCGTATGGTGAGTGTAGAGAACCGGAGACCCTTTTTACTGGAAAAGAGGCATTCCATCTTAGTCCTTACGGGTGACAACGCATCTGCATTTTGCTTCTTTATTGAGGATAGATGTGTCTATGGGCCACAGCAACCACTTACCATCAGGTGGACTGTGTGCTCGTTTGTCACCCAATCCTATAAAAAAAATATGGAAATTGTTGTTATTGGTGTAATATTTGAAATTCTAAATTTCAACATATCTCCACGTTTTAGGACCCACAGTTTGATTCTCCGCTTTTTAAAAAGATGTATCTTTACACAGGTATGTTCATGATTTTTTTTGTTTTTGCATTATTAAGTCGACAAGAAATATAATGATTTCGTTTAAGGCTTACGCTTCAGGCAATCATTCTCATTACAGTCTCTCTAAAGTCCACTACTGAACATAAGCTTCGCCTGTATCAATAGTGGACTTTTAGGACTTCCAGACGGGTTGGCAATCACAGTTTTTTTTTAAATTTCTAATCAGTAAAAAGCTGCTGCACACCTACTGTTTCTTTTGCTATGTTGCTTCTCACAACTTCCACGGGATACCATGCCACCATAAGTTTACGGCTCGCAATCACACCACTTACCAGCATTTCCGTGTGGTGAACTATTTTTTTTTAAACGTTAACCCCCACGAGGATTTTCTCCTGTATTGTGGAGGCAGTTTACAAACATAAATTGCACAAGGACAAACATCCAGACCTGGAACAATTATTTGTAGGGCATATAAATACTTGTTCCGTGCTGGATTCGGACCCGCAGCCCTCAGCGCCGCAACTCAATGCCAAGTCACTGCGCCATGGAGCCATAAAAATGATAGCTTTGTTTTTCTATATAAATATAATGATAGAGGTTTGCAGTTGTGCGCGCATCACGGAAAAGCTTCTGGATAGATTTCAATTAGGTTTTCTAAGTTTTATATCTTAGACACTTGGTCCTTATCTAAAATTATTGCGATGTCTTCATTTAACATAAAGTTATTAAAGTTTTAAGAAACAACGATTTTTATAAGCACCACGTGTTCAGTAATGTGTGCCACCAACAAAATCCCAGAAAATATACAAGGTCTCTCTATGACAAAGTTTAAACATTTAATTAAACTAAAACTATATAAAAAGGGTTATTATATAATAAATGAATACATGGTTGATAATAACCCCTGGGAATGTCGCTTCAAAGCTGTTTCATAAATTTTGTATATAGTTTGCAATAATTTATATTGTAAAATTTATTTTTAAAAAAAAGTCCCGCTGGGTTTCTAGCTGGTTCTTCCCAGGACAGAGGTTTTTTTTCGAACCAGTGGTAATGTAAAAAAAATGACTTTCAATAAGAATTACTTGTAATCAATATTGAATAAAAATTATTCTATTCTATTTTGTGTTTTCTTGATATATCAAGCAACGCAGACGAAGTCGCGGCTAGTGCTTAAGTAAAATAAAAGAGTACTAACCTTCCTAACTCTGCACCTGTCAGGATCAGCCAACTCTTTGCACAGCTCGTGCATAACCTTCTCTTTGACTAACTCAGCTCTCGATCCTTTCAGTATATTCGTGATGACCATGAGGGTGGCCCACGAGTCCACCTCGGATTCTACGAGCGGCCACCAAGTTTCGGGGGCGATAAAGTAGCCAAACAACTCGGATGCACGCTTTATCTAAATTCAAACTTGGAATCAGTTAAAAAATTTTTAAACGCAATGACAGCAATAGAGAAACACTCAATTTCCCGTGGTTGTAATAAGAGGCGACATTTTTTATAGAAGTAAAGGTTTCCTTAGTGCACTCAAAAGGCTTTTAATAATAAGTAAAAGCAGACTTTAAAGAAATTAAAACAGCAAAATTACTCCACGTAACAGCTTCAGAAGTCGGCCCTTTAATTCGGACATCTATACACTATGTCTTAGTACCGACTTCTGAAGTTGTAGTGTGGAAATTATTTTTCAGTTTTTGGTTCTTTCGAGTCGGCTTTGTTTTTGCTTTTTTTTATCTTTATGTATAAAAATTACGTGTCACATTGTTTGTCCGCGATGAACGCCTAAACTACTGAACTGATGTCAATGAAATTTTGCACACTGTGTGCAGTTTGGTCCAACTTGAGAGATAGGATAGTTTTTATCCCGATAAGTGACCCTCAATTTTTGTTATTGCTAATCTCAGGAGTTTTTTTAGGAAAGCAAATGGTCGTCGGAAAGGGCAGAACAACGTCTGCCTGGTCAGCTAGTAATTATTGATATTTTGATAGTTTAAGTGCGTTTATATCTTAGTGTGTCCGTGGAGTCAATTAAGATCACAACTGAAAACCATTGCCCCACAAATTATCATTGAGGCAGTATCTTTCTTAACATCATGCAAGTGTTTGTTATATAAAATGTGTATTTATTGTTACTCAATGTTATTGTGTTTGACAAATAAATACATCTGTGATCTCTAATCTGTTTGCAAACGTAGTGGTTACGGTATATTTTTTTTTTATAAAATAGAACTTAAAGTCTACCTGTTGGTAAATGGCTACTGCTACTCTTTCGTTCGTTTCGTTCGCGGCCCGCGCTCTTTCGGCCCGCGCATATTTCGGTCGTGGGTTCGAATTTGCCATTCGACTACTGTCGTGTGAACCACTTCTAACACAAGCATTTTAAGCTTACCAGACGTGGTTTGTGTGGTTTAAGGTAATATTAGTAATGTTTAATAGCATTACTAGTATTAAAAAAAACTAAGAAAGGAACTTCGTTCCTACCGAGTGTTCCACGACACTCCCGCATGTTTTCTTATTTAAATATCGCCGGTAGTAAACGATTCCACAATGTAGTCGTGCGAGGAAGAAAACTCCCAGTAAATCGCACGGTAGTGGACCGCCAAGCATACAGATGATGTGGTGAAATTTGGCGGCTGGAATTAATGCGAACAATTCCGCAGAATACTCCCCGTGGTTGATGAGATAAAAAATGCGATGCAATATCTCTTCGCAGCGCCAGTGAATCGAGCCGATCAGAGAGGACTCGATCTGCGCTGGATGCGTGTACCGAAAGGTAAACACGCTTGTACACACAAACCTGAAGGTGTGTGTGTACAAGCGTGTTGCATTAGGCTATTCAGTATGAATAACATTTGAATTTCGGCCCCATATCAGCCCTCAAATCTCGCAGAAAACGTTTACCGTAGTTTTTACACATCCACATTTTTTATTTTATATGGCGATTAATACCTTATTCCAGGAAGAAAATAGTAACTAATTCTTTACGACAAGAAAACATGAAAAGGAATGTGTTACCTCAAGAACAACTCGTGTATCTTCATCCCCGGCCCCCCTCTGCAGGATCTTTACAATGGTGTTGGTGTGCTGAGTGGCGCCCTCTTCTGCGCAAAGCAGTAACCAACACAACAGTTGCGCGACTCGGAGACGGGCGTCCGCTTGCCACCCTTCCATCTCTGATACAATTTGATAGTTAACAGTTGACACCACCATTCATAAATTAACTACACCATTTTACATGTGTAGAGGAAAAGTACCAATTATGGAATACGTCCCTAATATGGAATACCGTAATATTTCTAAAACTAAGCACCACAAATATTCCAAACTTGTGCCATGTTACTCCTCCCGTCATCCACGTTCAACGGCCAGGGTGCGTGCGGTGTTCGGCAGCAATACACGCAAATGAGAGTGCGGGACACTGTTGGCGCAACATCAATCGGATATTTAGGTAAGTTTTACGTATATATTTCTTATTGTTCGTACATGAATATCTCAAAATAAGTTGATATGTATCTGAACGAAGTATGTAGTTTTTTAATGATATTGTTATTTTTCGAATTTTTAAAAATATTAAAAAGTTACATTTATTTTCCTCTCGCCATCATATTGTTCGTAATATGGAATACCGTTGAGGTCCTAATATGGAATAGTATTCTATATTAGAACCTCAACGAAAGTAAGTTTTTAATATAGTGTCTGATTACTATTTCTGTCTTTTACAGATATAATTGTGATCAAACTGACCCCACCAGTATGAAAAATGCTATTAAAGCCGTGAAAACCAAATAAATGGGTTATAAGAAAGCTGCACAGGTTTTTAATGTATCTCGGACTACCCTCTTTCGGTTCTCTCATGATATGAACCAAATATAGACTACCGCCTTGGTCGTAAAACAATTTTGGGACCTGACATTGAACATATTATGTTAGTACGAGTATAGTATGTCAAGCAAATGAAAAATAAAACGGTATTTTGGGCTTACGCGAAATGATGTGAAGAGAATGGCATATCAGTTGACGGTAAAAAATAATTTAAAACATCCTTTTAATAATAGAACAGCTGGACGTAAATGGTTAAAAGGGTTTTTTTCGAGGCATAAAGAACTTTCTCCGGTCCAACCTACTGGTACATCATTTGCTCGGGTTAAAGGCTTCACGAAAGAAATTCTTCTTCGATTAACTGGAAAAGAAATTTGAGCTTTTTAAATTTCCACCAACTAGGATCTACAACGTCGACGAGACTGGGCTTAGCATTGTTCAATCGAAGACACCCAAGGGTTTAGCTTGCAGGGTTAATTTTATTATTTTCTTTTGATTAACGAGACTTGACCCTATTATGGAATACCCTTTCCATAATAGGGTCACATTTTTGAGAAGCATATTTTTTGTTGATTTATTTTAGTTAATAATATTACGGAAAGTGTTTATGATTTACTGATTTAAATATTATTTTAAGAGAGTGATAATGACTACATTTAATTGTAATCAATGAGACTGATTAAAATAAAACTTTTGTACTGATTTTTTTAAGAAATTGTTTTAGTATTCCATATTCGGTCCTTTTCCTCTACTTTTAAGGTACAATTCCGTAGCCGACCGCAGACAGCAGCAGCAGGCGACGTGTCCTCGCAATAGTCCGTGTTCCAAACTGTTCCGAATGTTCTGTGGGTACTCTATTTATGTAAACAAAACTATTTATGTAAACAAAACAAAATATATTTTCTATTTATCGCTTTTATTTAACTCCTTTCCTATATTTTTTCAAAATATTATCTTTTGTCACACTGTTTAAATAATTATTGTGAGATGCATCATACAGTGCGGGATATTGGGCCACCTGGTTTATCAGTTTCTGTTCCACGGAATCGGTGAAACTCGGGCGTTGGCGGCACTACTGATCTGCGGTCGGGCGACATGTCGTCTGCCGCTCCGGCAAACCACGTGTAGCTAGCTACGGAAGGTATTTCATAGAACTACATAGAAACCAGTAGTATCGCGACGACACGTCGCCTGCTGCTGCAATTTAAATTGGTAAGTAGGATGTTGTATCAACACGAAAAAAACTTGAGATAGGATTTTTAAAATAATTTGGCTATGGCGGTCTGAGGTATCAGTTCATTTTGGAAAAGGGTCTCTTGCCCAAAATAGTTTGGGAATCGCTTTACTAGCGGAAACCCGTCGTGTGCTACTACACCAAAAAAAGAAATACATTTTGAAAGGAAATTTTGTTCATTTTTTTTTTTGTTTTAGTGGTCTAAAACCATCTTTACATTATTGCTTTTCCAATGAAACCCGGTTTGGGGCAATTCGGTTGGATGGTTTCAAAGGCTAAACAGACATAGGACACATTTTTTGTGTTTTGTATATATTGATTTTAAAAATCTAATTTAACAATACTCAAAATAATTTTCCATTCCAATTTAAAAGAATGCAATTCCCAGTATCATTGTGTTATGCAATGACAATTAATAAGGCTCAAGAGCAGACTTTTCGTGTTGCTGGAGTAGATCTCGGTGTCAGTTGTTTCTCGCATGGTCAGTTGTACGTCGCTCTTTTCCGGGTTAGCAGTTCTAGAAATCTTTATGTTCACGTGCCGGACGGGTCAACTTTCAACATAGTTTACCCGGAAGCTATACGCTGAAGTATTTTTGTTCTATAAGTACTTAAGCCTCATGTGAACGTGATCTAAACAATATTACCAATATATTAACTTAATAACACAGAAGGAGTTACACTCCATCCAAAGCCCAGCGACACTATAACATATATAGGAATGACGTCTTAGCAAAAGTTGTTTAGTCTGATGGGCATTTCCTGTTGACTTACAAAAATGAAAGATCTAGAACCATCTCGCGAATCACGTTGTTTTCCCGTCCCCGAGCTCTTAGAATTCAACATCAGACGTTTCAGATCTTCGATTTTGACGACCCCGTTGTCGCTGGCATAAGCAACAGGATCCGCGTACGAAGTCGCGGGCAGAAGCTAGTACTCAAATATTTTAACTAAACTATACAAATAAAATTAATGACTGTAAAAACTATGGAATCATTACAGTTACATTATACTCTCATACAATTTTTATATTACGAAATGATTGTTTTGATAACTCTTAAAAAACATTGAGTTATATGTATTATGTACTACGTACTAAAGAAGCCATTCGAACATTGACTATGTTCAACTGAACTGTAGTGCAATATATACAAACTAAATATTGCGTAAATTGAAGATTTGTGAATTCCATAAAATAATTATTATTACATTTTATTTAGAAATATAACATGTTTGTTTAGATGAAATTAAGATATTTTATATTAAATTCTTATATTTATTTTATATTAATATCTTATTTTATATCAAATTAAAGTCTTCGCGCATGCGCGACTACTGCTCCCGCGCATGCGCGAAAACATAGAGTAGGACACAGTTTTTGTTTGAAATGGCTTCTCTAGTACGTAGTACATATAACTCAATGTTAAAAAATGTTATCCATTCTTGTTTTAAGTACCCAATTGATTTCTCGAAAACAGTTCTACCGATTCGTTTGAATTCTGTAGTTAGGCAACGTTTTACTCTTCAAGTTTATTTGATAGGTTTCATCCCGAAACTATTTTCCTTTCTAATGCCGAACAAGGCCAAACCGCCCAGGTCAATTTCAAAAATTTTAAATAAAATAATTGAAAGTATCTAGAGTCGCTCATACTGCAAAATTAGATGCAAGTTTCTGCTACATGAGTACATGTCTATATGAAATCATACACACCTTTACCGATTGCAGGTACAATTTTGCCAATATTGTTTTGCACCAAAACCCTACACCCAAAATTAGGCCGCTTTACATCAGGGTAATGAGACGGCACATCTTTGAGAAAATCTAATTTCTTTTTCAAATCCTCTTCGTTCTCCTCCATATACTGAAGACCGATATCAGACCAAAGCTTCGTGGCTGTCTCTCTTATATTCTCCATTACGTCACTTAAGCTGCGAACATCGTTTGATTAATTTTAATCATTGATTTAGTAAACTGCTTTTCATATACTTTCTTTTTTAGCACACGTTAGAATATAATTACAATTTATTTCAATATTTTTTTTTTATAGAATAAGGGTAACCTTCAACCACCAAGTCCACCTGATGATAAGTGGACGCTGTGGCCGATGGACATCTACATCTATCGTCAATTAAGTATCAAAATGCAGAAGCATTGTCACCCCGAGAACTAAGATTGAATACCTCGTTTCCAGTAAAAAGGGATCTCCCGTTCTCTACTCATGGCAACGTTTTCAAAAGTATTCAGTTGATAGAAAGAGCTTCTTCATTAGCCCGTTAATGTTCCTGGATATGGTCCTCTCCTTTTTTTGAAATTCAATATCAAATCAAAATCATTTTTGTTTAGATAACAATTCTAATTGCAAATTAATTTTATTTTAAGGACATGGAATTATTTTTTCAAAATTTAGTCTTTTGTTTATTGATTAACGTTACGTTTTGATCGCATTTGAATGTTTTTTGTCATCATGGATACGTTAAAAATTCAAGTAAGTAATTAATTATGGAATATACCGTCGTGGCAGCAACGCGACACAAGCGGCACGCAATATCAACGACGAGCGAATACAACAAACGAACGCACCACCTGTTCTTGATTTGCCCGCTTCCACTTTGGAAATTTTGACCTGAAAAATGAACCCCGTGGTCGTCCGAAAACTTTGGTCGACAATGACGAATTAAAGGCGATTGTGGAAGCTGATGATACTCAATCTACAGCTGAATGAGCAGCAACCTTCGACGTCAGCGTCAAAACAATATTGGTTCATTTGCGTCAAATTGGCAAGGTAGAAAAACTTGACAAATGGATGCCCTATGAACTCAATGATCGCCAGCGCGAAGTAAGCGTCGAGACGTGCTTCGCACTGCTCAACAGGCACACAAATGTAGGAATTTTGAACCGCATTGGTACCTGTGACGAAAAATGAATTCTGAATTCTGATTGACAATCGCAAGCGCTGAGCAAGTTTGTTGGATCTTGGTTCAGCACCTAAACAATGCCCTAATTGAAAATTTCCCCTAGAAAAGTGATGGTCACTGTTTATTGGTCTCGCGCCGGTGTGATTCACCACAGCTTCTTACCAAACGGGATGAGCATTACTGCAGATGTATACTGTGAATAACTGAACACAATGATGGAGGAGTTCGCACGTCTGCAACCAGCTTTGGTTAATCGCTCGTCCCCGCTGCTCCTGCACGACAACGCGCGACCTCATACTCCACAACAGACTGTCTCGAAGTTACAACAGCAAGGGTTGGAAGCTCTCCGTCATCCGCCGTACTCACCAGATCTTGCGCCTACAGACTTTTTCCAGAATTTGGATAACTTTATGGCTGGAAAAAAATTAAATGCCTTTGAAGAATTTGTTGCTCCCGTCCAGCCGATTTCTTCAAGAAGGGCATCAATAAACTGCCACTGCGTTGTCAAAGATGCATCGATTGCATGAGTGATTACTTTGATTAATAGAAATAAAAAATACAGAAAAAATTACGTTAATTTATATTTAATAAAAACGGCTATTCCATAGGTAAAGACATAATATTATCGATGTCAGAGACGCGTAGCGTAATTACATATTGAACACCTGATTTATGAAGTTTTCAATTAATTTGATTATACACTACGTCTTTGTATACTTCCAAAATACTTTTTTTAAAGTCTAAACAACTAAGCTAAGCGTTTAGTTGTGACGTTCCAGGTACGCGGGTTCGAAACCCTCACGGAAAAATGTGTTTGCGTGACCTATAAATAATTGTACTTGGTTGGATGACCGGACCTATAAATAATTGTCCTTGTCAAATGTATGTACCTACTTATGTGAAGCGCCTCCACGATACAGTAGAAAATCCAACTGATGTATTTTTTAAACATTTTCTCTATCAGACCTACACCTACTTCCTTAATTATTAATAGTTTTAAAGGGGTCATTATTGCAAAAACATTTTACTTGCTTTATTATTTATTATTCAAACACGATTTGTAATTATTTATTAGATATTAAATTACACGCTACCAAGGTATATTATTTAATTAGTAAAAGGGTGTTAGTGTAAGTTATTGTTGTCTTTAGTTATCGTGTTGTTAACAATAAGCAATTGTTTTTCTTTTTGGAAATATTCGTAATATTTAATTTAGTTTTCGTTTCTGCATTTTGGGAAATAAACTTTTGAAATGTGTAAGATAAATGAAGAAATATACCATTTGCATAATACATTAAGTCATACATAGTACCTAATTTGAGATAATAAGGTACGTTGGGGTAAGATCGGTGATGGGGCAAGACGGAGATATTTTGAAAAGCTAACAATATGCTACACGACGCCATTTCATCCTGCCCCGACCCTCAGTTCGCGCCAGTCACTCCGGCAAGTGGGACCTGTGCTGCGTGGCATTTTATAAAACAATGTAATTTTTCTGCCGACTTCCAAAAAGGAGCCGGTACTCAATTCGACTGTATGTTTTTTTTTTTCGTTTTTTTTTTTATGTGTGTTACCTCAGAACTTTTTTCTGGGTGAACCGATTTCGATGATTCTTTTTTTATTTGAAAGCTGGTACTTCTCGTGTGGTCCCATATGAATTTGATCAAGGTCAGACCAATAGTTTTTAAGTTATTCTTAAATAACTTATATTGAAGTCGGCTGTACAAAATTTTTAATTTTAAATTATGTATTATTTTTGTCCATCCGATCTTTCCCTATCACTTTTATTTACGATTTTTAGCGAGAATATGGCTTCTTTTGTTATTATTTTGTGTGGATACTAATTTTTATGAAGTTATAGCTAAATAAAGCTGGTCCATGCACGAGTAAGATCGCTGTAGGCCGAGATCCGATGTTTCCCCTCGTGAGTGAAGATCGGATGAATATTATCCGATCTTTGCCTGTTACAAATATGGCAGTGGTTGTTAAACTTTCATTGGTCGTGTATATTTTTTCGTTGATTACTCAAGTGACTATGGGACTCAGTCTCGTTAGCAAGTCTGTATATTTAAAAGTAATAAAACAATACGATGGTTTTATTACTTTTAAGTACACATTAAAATACATTTTTTTATAGGATAAGGGTGACAAAGGAGCACACAGTCCACCTAATGTTACACTCAATAATCACTATTGCTGAGGCCCATAGACATCTATATCTATCCTCTATTACAAATCAAAATGTAATTTATAATAATAATTTAAAAAATAATTTATAATAATAAATGCCGCTTTGTTAAAATATTTATATCTTCCTTAACTCCTGCATTATCCCAGGGCATTTCGCCAGTCCTTACTGTTATTTTTTTTCCCATATAAAATCAAATGCATCCGATCTTTCTCTTATATTGAGTAATTCCATCTTGTCATAACAAAGTTTGAGAAACATAAAATTACAATTTCTTTATATCAGGGATAAGATCGGATGGCAAGAAACAAAAAAAGAGAAAATCGTTTGGGACATTTATGTTTCTAGTAATTTATAGATCATATTGAAATATGTTTTTGAGCGTTAAAGATAGGACAAATCTCTTTTATAAACTTTTTTCTCTAAGCAGTAGAAGTGGTTTTAAATTTAAGTCCGGTCTTACCCCTTAATGGCCAAATTTTCATTATGCATATAAAAAAGTATGCCTAGTTTTCGCACACCTTTAAAGCAGAAACCGTTGAGTTTAGACAAGCAAAAGATTCTCAGAGCTAAACTACGTTTAACGATTAACGGTTTGCTCCATGTTCCATAAATCTGACGTATACGAATGTCGAGAAATTAAAGTTTTTGGCAGACTCTTCCAACTATTCGAAAATCCGTCCGGTATTACCCCAACGTACCTTACATTTTTTAAGTATGAATGCTGTACAGTCATAAAAGTATTATAGCAAGAATCCTAAGTTAATTATCTTAGGTACTTATACAGGGCCGGATTAACCATTAGGCAGAGTAGGCAACTGCCTAGAGGCCCCGCATCGGCTAGAGGCCCTATGCGCGCACAAAAGTAATGGAAAATGTGTCATAGTGAAAATGAAAAAAAATGCGAGAGGCAAGACTTATGATAACGCGTCGAATATGTCTGGTAGTTAATGTGGTCTTCAGGCCCATATTAGGAAAATAAATAATCGCGCACACTACGTTCGAATACAAATCTTTTAAATATATCTTTTAAATATAAATTTCTGAGGAGTTAAGCGTCAATATGGTGATGCTGCTGATGCTATTACACACATCCCTTCACGCTGGTTGGAAAGGGGCCCCGAGAACTGTATTGCCTAAGGGCCCTGACATGGTTAATCCGGGCCTGTACCTATATAAAGAAGTCAATAGATTTATCTAATAATGAGTTTTTCTATGCAAAATTGTAGAACCTCAAATTAAATATACTTCGTGGTTTAATCTTAACTTGACCAGGTGCTACTTAATCGAGTTTTACTGTATTTGTGACAATTTTTGAATATAAATATCACCTCATCATCTTTTGAGCTGTTCACTGCTGGGCATGGTTTCCTTTCACTTTTTACCTTCCGAAGATATTAATATTATGGGACAACAGCAAAAAAAGGTCCGAAGTTGCTTTAATTTGCGTTCACAAATAAGGGAATTCTAAACCAAATTGTCAAAAGCGCAGCGATAATGGTGTGTTGGTATTTGACAACATTTACATATAGCAATAGTAGGGAAGGTACAATTGAGTGAAAAGAAGTTGCCCTTTGGCCAATATGCTGAAAGAATTTTACAGAATAGGATTTTAGAATGGGAATTCGATATTTTATACAGAGGCATCAACATTATTTTGCTATATCCAAATTTACATACAAAGCAGTGTCAAAGTGGCACATGGGGAAAATTACTACATAATCTACACCTCATCATTATCGTCATTACAGCCTTTCATAAGTCCAATGCTGAACATAGGCCTCCCCCAAGGAATGCCACAAAGCACGGCACTGAGCCACCTGCATCCATCGAATTCCTGCATGTCGTACTAGGTCGTCACTCCATCTCGTGGGGGGTCGCCCTACACTTCGCCTACCGGTACGAGGCTGCCACTCAAGAACCTTTCTTCCCCATCGGTTGTCGGTTCTTCAAGCTATATGGCCGGCCCACTGCCACTTCAGCTTACTAATCCGTTGGGCTATGTCAGTTACTGTGGTTCTACTGCGGATATAGTCATTTCTAAGTTTATCACACAGAGAAACCCCGAGCATAGCCCTCTCCATAGCTCGCTGAGCAACCTTGAGCTTCCTCATAGGATCCAGGCCAGCAGTGAAGGACCACGTCTCAGTTCCGTAAGTCATCACTGGCAACACGCACTGGTTGTACAATTTCGTTTTAAGGTTTTGAGGTATGTCTGACGAGAATATGTGTCGTAGTTTCCCAAACGCTGCCCAGCCGAGTTGAATACGTCAATTGACCTCTCGGTCGAAGTTGGACTTACCTAGTCGGACTATTTGTGCCAGGTAAACATACTCGTCAACAACTTCGAGCTTAGTGCTCCCACAACAACAACAACTACCGGCATAGGTGTGACATGGACATTAAACATGATCTTTGTTTTGTCCATGTTGATCCTAAGACCTATTCGTTGGGAGACACTATTGAGGTCATTGAACATGGTGTTTAGGTCCTCCAGCGATTCTGCCATAAGGACTATATCGTCGACAAATCGAAGGTGAGTGATGTACTCGCCATTGATGTTAATACCATATCCTTTTGTTTGTAATTCCATCCTCGCCTGGGGACTTGCCGTTTTTAAGGTGCTGGAGAGCCATTTTAATTTCGCTCAGACTGACGTCCGGAATATCTTCGGAATAGTGTCGGATAAGACTTGCTCTTGGATCGTTACTCACACTTGCGTGTGGCTCCAACGATGACGTGTATAGCTGCCCATAGAACCTCTCAGTCTCACTCAAAATCTCAAGTGCCCGGAAACGATGCTGCCACATTCGGTCTTCAGCTTTGACAGTTGGCTGTTTCTGGCAGACAGATCTCTGGCAAAGACTTTAGAGCCTTGGTTCCGCTCGATCGCTTTTTCAATACGTGCTGTATTGAAGTTGCGTAAGTTTCGCCGCATGCATTTGGAGATCTGTCTGTTCAGTTGCCTGTATGCTGTCAAATCGGTTGAAGAATGTAGCTTCATCTCCCGTCTAACAGCCATGAGATTGAGAGTGTGATCGGAGAGTTTTTGTGTTCGTCTGCGGTGGGTCTTGCAGAACTTAGCACAGTTTCACAGTTTCCACGAGCTTGTCATTCATATCGTCCACTTCATTGCAGTCTTCTAGGCACTGAAAACGGTTTTGTAACTCGAGCTGAATGGTTTCGAGACTTTGGAACAGAGCACGAGGGGGACGGAGCGTTGACTTCATTAGACGAGTCCTCTCCAACTTAACGTTTAGGTTCAGTGTGCCTCTAATCATTCGGTGATCGCTACCAGTTTTCACCCTCGCGATCACGGAGACATCACTGAACAGTTGTCGTCTGGTCGTCATAATGAAGTCAATCTCATTTTTTGTGGAACCGTCGGGGCTCAACCAGGCCCACTTCCTGTGGAGCCGCTTCTGGAAGAAAGAGTTCATCATTAAGAATCCCTCTTTCTCCATGAAGTCGGCCAGCTGCTGGCCCCTTGGGTTCCGTTGCCCTATTCCAAATTTCCCTACTTTCAGCTCACCGTTCTCTCTTGTGCCTAGTTTTGCGTTGAAGTCTCCCATTAACACCGTATAGTGGGTTTTGAAGGAATGCATGGCTCTAGAGATATCCTCATACATTTCCTCCGCCTCATCGGGGTGTGCCGAGATTGGTGCGTAAATCTGTATGACCTTCAGCGAATACCGTTTGGTGATTCTGAGTATAAGGTACGCAACCCTCGTCGACACCAACCAACGTTGTTAACGAGAGATTTGTGGACGATAAATCCGACACCTCCTTGGGACAGATGGTCGCCCTCCCGGTGATAGAGCAAGTTGCCGGATTCGAGGATTACCGTGTCCTCCCCCTCTCTTCGGACTTCGGATAATCCTATAATATGCCAGCGTAACTTGTCTCTAACTATCTCTTCTTCCAGCTCCATGATCTTCTCGTCAGTCCTCAGGGTGCGTGCGTTGTCTGTTGCCAGGTCGAGTCGTCTTAGGTGGCAACCGAACTTCCACCGGAGATTCTTAGCACCCCCTGCCCCGCCGTTACCATGGTCGCCACCGTAGCCAGGAATAGCGGGGCCGCCGGGGACTGGGGGCCGTTTCTTTGTTACTCTCATCAAGGGGGGTATTTGCCATAGTTGCCACGCTTGGCGAGCGGGTTGGCAACCACAGTATTTTTATTACAAGTTTGTTCTTATCACGAAGATGCTGCTGCCCATCTCCTGCCTGTTTCCCTTTGTCGCCTTTTACGACACCCACGGGAAGATATGGGGTAGTGGGTATTCTTAACCGCCACTACACGGCGCATCTACACCTAGGAGTTATTAATAGTGGTTTTCGAAAAGAACCTTACCTAGTAAGCAAGAGAGGTATCATGCGATGCCAGAAAGAATATCGGTCTTTGTAGGTCAACATCCAGTTACCAACTTCCAGTGTGACCTGCATGCGAACCTGCGTGTTCTCATCAAAGAGTTTTTCTGCCATTGGAGTGATGGAAAGTTCAAAACATTTAGCATTGCCAGCGATAATTATTGCACCTGAAATCATAACCATTATATTTATATACAATTTGTACACCTACAGATCATATTCTATATGTCACTTCTCAGCACAAACATCCTCTTATATTTGAAAAAGATATGTACCAGTAAAAATTCTGTCATACTTCTCCAATGAAAACTGGTGGATTTCATATGTCCTTCGATTATAAATAATTTTTAATAACAAGCTATAATATGAAATGCACTGATGAATTGTTAATTACTGGTATATCATTACAGCCTCTCAAAAAACAACTGTTGAACATAGGCCTCCACAATAGATTGCCTCAAATGGTGATATTTGCCATAGTTGCTACGCTTTTGAAGTGGCATGTCAGCTGTTATTAGGAAAATGCTGCTGTCCATCTTATGCTTCAGTTTCCCTCTATCAACTCTTACAACAGCCACGAGATGATATGGGGTCTATTGCTACAATCACACATAAATGCACATTTGGATAGGGGTACAAAAATATAATCATTGTTGCAAACAAACTTTTTTTCAGATTGTTAATTAGACTAGTAGATATTATATCACTGCAAAGTAAGCCATTTAAAGCTTATATTATAGCCACACTGCACTCGTGGATTGGTTTCTGTACATAAAAATTGTATAAATTATCAAATTTTAACTTTATAATATAGCATAAATAAATACTTAAGTAAGAAATTAGTAACCAAAGATGAAATCCTACCTATTACTCTTATAGCTGCAACACGAACTCTAAAATGCTGATGTGCAAAGTTTGTCAGCACTGGCTTGATGTAACTTTCTGATTGGAAATGGAAATCTCTGTGAAGAATTTTGGAAAGCAGTATTATACATTCACAGGCTTCTAACTTGACCTTAGGAAATGGATCTGTACTTGTCTTTGTAAGTATACTAGTAAACTCATTAAAGAATGAAGTCAAATGATGAGTATGTTTATATTTTTCAATAATCTTATGGACTAGCTCTATTAATATCAAACGAATTTCTTCAGAATCTTCCACAATCTCTGCACAGCCAATACGACGAACTATCACAGGAAGTATATATGTCAAATAATAATCATTATGGGGCAAATATTCTATAAAATTGGAGATTATTGATGCGCTTGCTTCCCTACATGCCTCAGAGGGGTCAGAAAAGCCCTTTAGGATGTAAGCGTATATTTCAGGGAATATAACAGTCAGATCACAATCACTATTCATTGGATTTTCAAATATCTCCTGATTTATCTTCAGAAAAGCCTGTTTACGAGCCATTTTCGATTCACTTTGTAATGATGTAATATATTGTTCTAACGCCCCTCTGGGGTTTACTTTTAGTTCGGGTTTCAAATCACACATGTTAAATTGTTTCAAGCAGTCCACAATAAAAGAGTGACGTTAAGAGAAGAATAGCATTTATTGATATAACCACAAAGGTACTCTGTGGATATAACTAACGCAAAAACAGTGTGATATGTCGGATATTGATAAACAACACGTTTCCATGACAACCATGACATTTGACATTTGAACAGGTGACATATTTTTTCTGTCTATGTATTATACCCATAGACATAGAATTTACTGGCATAAGACATACAGGAAGTTGATGAATGCAGGTGGCTCGGATAGACAGTATTATTTTCTGTGCTTAGAACTCAGGATCGTGTTTTGCAGTGACTTATGGCCCTCATAATGTAATGATTATAATGAGATCCTGTCCCGCTCTAAGCACGTCAAGCATTTTTTAGCCTTCCCTTGTAGGTGACCATGAAACTAAAAGTCATTCGATACATACGCGCTAAGGAATCCGATGCTGGCTGAGGCAACAAGAGGTGTGCCCTGAAATTTAGGAGTCGTAAGCAATCTGTGTCTTCTGCGGAAAAAATTATTCGCCTCCATTATGAGATTTTCTTTAACAAAGACTCGACTTTAGACACAAATTTGTTCCGGCACTCAACGACGTGTTCTTGAGAAATATTAGCACGGGCGGTGTATAAAGCATTACCAGTTCTATCATCTGTAAAACAATGCATTTTACTGATTTGTAACATACATTTAATCGATATGCAGAAGGAACAGGGTAGGCGCTAGAATGCAGACTTGTGGAATACCAGCATTTTCGGGCTTACAGTTGAAGCATGTACCGTCAACTTACACGACAACCTTAATCCTCCAAACAGCAAAAAATTTGGTTATCCAATTTCATAATTTTTCGGGAAGCGAAGCTTTGAAAGAAGCGCTATATACGCTTTAGCTACATATATTCAAACTAACCGCCAAGGTCTCCCCCTTGGAGAGACTGCCCGCAATCATCGATGTGTTGGGTGAATAAGAAGATCACCGGCTGAGCAACCCCGGCGGAAACCGTACTGGCGATCACTAGTCATCTGGTGCTTCTCAAGGTAACGCACGAACTGGGAATTTATAAACGACTCCATTATGTTAGAGAACAAGGAGGTGATGGCGATAGGCCTGTAGTTGGACAGGTCAGAGCAATTATCTTTTTTTACATTCAGGACAACGCCTGAAAAGTAGTATTATAAAAAGAGACGAGTAAGAACCTGTGTTAACTTCAGAGCGCACGTCCTCAGTACAACTGGGGGATTTCGTCAGGTCCATTATACTTATGAATGTCCAGAAACAATAATCGCATATTCGGCATGGCACACTCACAATGCGGGAAAGTCGGCGGTGTGCTCCCCCTGTCATCAAAAGTCGAGTTGTACACAAAAAGGAAGCTCAAAAGATCAGCTTTCTCTTTTGCGGCATAAGCCAACGAATCGTCCTCCCTGTGCAGAGATGGGAGAAACCAGGATGCACGGACAGAAGTGAAGGGAGGCGAACTAATCTCTCCATTTTAGGAATACTTTAGTGGCACCATTTTAACATGTACCGTTCCCAGTAAAGATAAGTCGTTGATATTGTAACTTTATGTAATTTGAAACAAAATACAGGATTGCATAACAGTCAAGGAATACTACTCAGACGAGAACTATCAGCCACTTGACTCAGATTCAGATGCCAACAAAGACAATACTCCAAAGAGAAATAAAATTATACGGCACTACATTATTCTCTAGCGAGAGATGAATTGATTTAGTAATCGTAGGTGTTGGAAGAATAAAAATACTTGTACTTTACTTTTTCATTTAAATTTTCATAAATATTTGAATAAACAACAGTAAAAAATAAATAAAAAACCAAATTTATGTTAAATAAGATCTACGTACAATGTAGCAGAAAATACTTTTTTGGAGTCTTGAGGGGAACTTGACCAGCAGCGGATTGCTGCTCCTGTATTAATGTTTAAATAATAATTTGAAGTAGATTTTGAAATGTAAAAGTGGTGCGATTTTGCGTATTAATTACCTGCGCATGTGAAGTATTAGTGGAAACAGTAAAACAAGTGCTCATATGGTGATGTGAATGTCAAGATAACGTGTCGGTCTGCTTAGGCGCCTTAAGATACTTTCGCCAATTGTCTGCTGACTCAAGTTGCCGTCAAAATCTCCCAAAAAACTAAACAATGTGACGCATCAACATATTGTGAAGCAGTATACTATAAAGAATTATTCTTGATCTTGATACTGAGATAAATGCAGATAAGGCTTAAAAGACAAGTATCCAAACCAAAATGTTAATAAAAACAAAATATACTTTTTTATTGAAACGTGACGTGCACCAATCACAGCTAGCCAAGTAAAGCTGTCAACGTTTTCAACTTCATGTCATGAATGAACTAGACTCTTCTACTAAAAAACGTTTTCAAGTTTCATTTAGACTTTGCTATTTCTTAGTTGTCTAGTATACGGCTCTGACTAAAGTTAACTTTTGTTTTCAGAGCAGAAAGTACATAATTATGTATAAATTAAGTGTGTTTTATCTATTGTTCTTGGCAGCTGTGCTGCAAATAACCCTTGCATTAAAGGAAGGTGAATGTGAGGTTTGTGTGAAGACCGTTGAAAAATTTGCAGCTACTTTATCTGATGATGTTAAGAAAGATCCAAAATTAATTGAGGCCAAGTTTAAAAAGTTTTGTAAAGGTACGAAGAACAAAGAGAACAGGTTTTGTTACTATTTAGGAGGCTTAGAAGAATCAGCCACCGGTATTTTAGGAGAATTGTCCAAACCTCTTAGCTGGTCTATGCCTGCGGACAAAATTTGTGAAAAGTTGAGAAAAAAAGATGCTCAAATCTGTGACCTGCGATTTGATAAGCAAATCGATTTAAACAATGTTGATTTAAAGAAATTAAAAGTTCGTGACCTCAAAAAAATCTTAAATGATTGGGATGAAGTTTGCGATGGTTGTATAGAAAAGACAGACTTTATTAAAAGAATAGAGGAATTAAAACCCAAATACATGGGTAGATCTGATCTGTAAAGTAGCAAAAGTACAATAGGTAAGGATACTATTTTATTTTTAACTGATTTCTTATAAGAAGAGGTGGTGTAATTTAAAGCAATAATAAAATAATATTACATAAATAATCAGGGGTGTCACTTCCACTATGGAAGGTATGGAGCACTCCATACCTCAAGTTTTTCAAGGTATGGAATTCCATAGCTGAAATTAGGAAATAAATCGCATATTACTACAAACCCCATATAAATAAATTGCAAGCCCTTAAACCTCAATACCCCACATCTTATAGTTCAATAAATAAGTTGAGTATATACACTGCAAACTCTTAAACCTTAATACCCCACGAGTAATGCGAACAAATTTGAAAATCGCGCCACCATTTTCCATACCTCAGATTTTTACAAAGTGACACGCCTGTAAATAATAATAAAGTAGAAATAATCCCTGAGGGCATTATGACAATAGTACATGCCTCATTAAAAAACTATTATTCATTTTTTAATATAGAAATCATGTGTCTCTGCCCCACAGTTTTCTTCACAACTAATGTAAATTCTTATTTCATATTCTTATAGTCATAAGGTATAAATTTGATTCTGTACTACAGAAACAGAAACAAACTTTTTTATTCAATATAGATTATAAATAATACTTATTGAAATTCACTCTTTTGTTTCATTAACAATAGTTTGAAAAAAACCTCTGTCCTGGGAAGTACCAGCAAAAAACCCAGTGGGACATTTATTTTAAATAACAGCTTACAATCATGTATGTTATGCAATTAACCACACAAAACAAATTAGAAATAGATTGGTAGCGATCACCTCATTCCCAAAGGTTATTATACACTTAACAGTCCATCCCGCACAAGTGATTCTCGCCTCGTCTCGCCTGACCGTGCAAGATTGTCTTAACAAAAACCATTACTACTGAAAAACTACTATAGCTACATTTAAACAAAAAATATTCTCAAAAGAGTCAAAGAATTCAAAATTTAATTTTGTTAAAAGAAAATTAGTCAAATTAAAAATAAAGGCTGAAAATAAAGCTTATTAATGGGAATATCAAAAAAAATCCTATTTATTTTTTATTCAGAGTTTTACAAAAAAAGTATAATACTTACTGGAGACTATTATTTTATATTATAATAGTACATGATATTCCCTATAAAATGACACCAATATCAATAATATCGTATATACTCAATATACATAAGTATAATGTTTACCCCATATAAATTTGAATAAATAAATAAATAAAAATAAGTTTCAATAATTTCTACACACGTCTCAACAGATAATTCGTTTATAAATTGCTATCAACGTGTTAATAGTGAATCATTCTTTTATATTTAGCATTCATTTAACACAAAAAACTGATTAGAATACATTTTATACTAGAAATTATTACATTTAAAATTAAAAAATATTTTGTTACTATTATACTGATAAAGTTCACTTTCACAGATGAAAAATTTCATATAGCACCATCTAAAATTTTTACTGTATTAATAACAGCCATATAAGGATGTCGTTTGGTGACTGTAGTCACTATGGACAGGTGAGGCAATAATTGTTTTTGGGGATTGCAGTCACTGTGGACGGTTGAGTAGTTATCATCCATAAATTCCTTAATATTATAATAACCCTTTTTATACACTTTGAGCAGGTCAAATTTTATATATTTCCTGGGTTTTTGTTATAAAAGTGTATACATATTACTGACTCGGTGGAGTCGAGTAACTGGTACTGCTAGCTTGTGTCTGTTACTAGTATTTACAGAATGAATATCACTTATTTTTGTATAACTACCTTTATTTTTGTGTACATACATTGCATTTTCGTAAATGTATTGAGAGGCCAAAGTTAAAATATTAATTGCCTTAAATTTTTGTCAGAGCGACTCTAGGTTTTAAACCATAGATTGCTCTTATGGCCCTCTTCTGTAAAACAAATATAATTTCAGTATCAGTCACATGTCTCCATAGTAAAATACCATATGACGTTATGCTATGGAAATAGTTAAAGTAAACAAGTCTAGCTATTTCCACACTGGTAACATTTCTAATCTTTTTTACAACATATACTGCAGAACTAACTCTGCTTGCTAATTTTGATATATGGGGGCTCCATTTAAGCTTCGCGTCTAGTGTTATTTCAATAAAAATGGTGCTATCGACAAGATTCAGTTCCTCCTCATTTAAAATTACATTAGTATTTAATTGACATTTGGGGTCATGAATTTCATTTTAGTGCCTAAGTTATTAACATTAAACCAATTTACTAATTTAGATATAGCATTATTTACTTTGTCATATTATTAATAATTGTTGTTTTGATTTGAATATTGTCAGTTTAATTTTCTTCTTCATTTCTTATTTTACCGATACATAGTATTTTATATAAAAATAGCAAAAGGTATATACTGATAAATACTTAAAAAAATGTTACCCCTATTCTAGGAGTTTCTCTTGTATCATGGAGGTGTTTTACATACATGACACAAGAATAAATATCTAGACCTGGAACAATTTTTGTAGACCACATGAACACTTGAAAACACACACACCACAACTCTGCTTAGCAACTGCCACAGAGCAGTTAACTTGCTAATAAAAATGCCATAATAAGTAATACCAAATTGTTTAGCCATTTACATACAAAATGTGATAGCTATAATTAGTAACAACAAATTTTTTGTAAAAAAAAAATGTTTGGCAATTTGATCCACAAGACATCATAGCAGGTTAAAATATGATGAGTTTTTTAGTTGATGAGCAATGTGAGACCCCTTGCATCTAACAATCACATGTAATTTTGGAGTATTCTACTTAATAATTATTTTCGTACATTGTTTTTGTTACAGCTCAAATTGTTCTCAAGACATCAATATGATATGAACTCCCGACAGAAAAAGAGCAATATTGTCAAAAAAATTATGGAGGTCATTCAACTTTTGCATTTGAAGTTATTTGCATGAGTTCTTGTGAATGATGTGTGTATGCAATATATTAAATTATTATTGTATTTAAGTAAAATATTTTTCATAGAGCTTGTTTTATTTCTAATTTTACAGCATATTTGTTAAAGCTCTTAAGCATATAGTACTCATAAACTAATACTTCTTTTCTGTTAAGAAGTCTAAATGGTTAAATCTCTCGCCTATAAAGTCCTAGTGGTTATAAGTAGCGGCACGAAAGTCTAGCGGTGACTGTTATTGCGCATAAGTCGCGCTGATTGGCTTATCGCGTATGAGTAACGCTGATTGGCTCGTGTATATCGTTCGCCCGCGCTGATTGGCTCTCCAGTCGCATTGGTACAATTCAATTAATGCGCGTCCCCTCCATGTTTCATTCAGAGCTAGACTTAGGTGCCGCGAGTTGTATATTTCTCGCACCTATTTCTGTTTTAAAATTGTATTTGAACTCCATTACTAAGATCTTTGCCATTTGCAAAGTAAGTCAAACAGTAAAGTTACATGTTTTGAGGCATACTATCTCTATCCTCAAAGGTGACATCTCATGTGCCATACTTGCGAGATGCCATAGTTAGTCACTTTAATATATAAGAGAAACATACATAAAGGCAAAATAGGATTTAAATTCTTCAATGCAATGTATCTTAGTACCAAGACCAACTTGGGAAGCTATTCTTTGAAAAGTCAGTGTCGCCTTTTACTTTTTAATTCTTACTAAGCATTTTAATACTGAAGAACAAGAGGAATATGTTAAGTTTGCATATTCAGAGGGATATGTTAAGTCTCCATATACATGAGATCCTGAATTTTGGTGACTGATAAATGTCAACCCAAAAAAACTATACACATACATTATTAATATATTTTACATACTAGGATCGGACTTAAATATCATAGATTTGTTATGGAGAGCAGCATCAAGTGTCAGGTGCTCAATGCTTAATGTCCTCCAGACTGACCTTTTTCCAGGCTCAATGGAGAATAGCCATTAGTGCTGGACAGGAGCTTGAGTGTTGATGCAGATACACTTGCACTCTCATAGTCATGTTTTAAAATATTTTATTATACTAATATAGGGGTAATGAAATCCAGATCAAACTTTAGCAGAGATTAGCCATCAGTATGATAATTTATAATGATGATGAGTTGTTATCAGGAATATGCTGTTACTCATGTTGTTTCATTTCCCTCTGTTGCCTCTTATAACACCCACAGGATATTAGGAAGTGGTTTCTTTTAATACACACCATGTATGCAGTAACTACTAACATTATTAACTAATAAACAATTATTATTATTTGAAAAAAGTTTCTTTTCATTAATCCTATAATTTAATTTATGGCAATTTCAGTTTAAAAAGGTAAGATGAAACAAAAACAACATTATCCATAAACTTCAGATATGATTTAATGTTTGACTCAGCTCATTGGAAATATTTCTCCCATTAATTTGCACATAGGTCAAAAATAATCAGAGATATTTAAAAAATATACATTAAGAATTTTACAAGTTTTTTATTTGTTAAACAACAGAATGAAAGCTAAAGCACTATAATAATATGAATGTGGCAACTCTCTTCAAAACCAGCAGATGACAATGTTTAGTGGTACTTGTAGTTCCTGTGGTGCTCTGAAAATGAAAAAAAAAGCAATTGTTACAAAAAGTTAAGTTAGGTTTTGAAAACTATTTAAAAAAGTGATTGCAGCATCAGATACTTAACAACTTAGACCATCATTTCTCAAAATGGAAGTTGATAAGGAATTTATATGACTGCAGTCTTTTATTGATTTAAATTTTTGATTTTAAGTGGGAAGGTGGAAAGGACTGAAAAATACCTTAGATCAAACTATTTGCATAGTTATTTTTTAACATCTGTTGAAAGCAATGTTGTTTTTAGGCATTTCTTTTTCAACAATTTGCACAGAATTAAATAAGGCAAAGGATAGGGTCCTTTCCCTTGTCATCTTCATCACTTTTAACATTATAGCAAAAGTAATTAATTATACAAACTGGCTACATTTTTATACTTACTGATTTTGCCATAGTTAATCACATAGAAGAAAGCCATTGACCCAACAAGCAGCTGAAAGAAGGGAGCCATTCCAACTCTCTTCGGCTGCACATATTTGTGTTGCCACCTCCACCAAGCTGTAAAAATCAATTAGATTTTAAACTGAGACTGAAGTTAAAGTATTTAATAATCTTAATACATTTCAATTTAAGGGATGACATTCCGTGACTGGTGCAAAACTCTTTATATTATAGTATATCATTAATTTTATTTGGTAGTTAGTAGTTTGGTAGTAGTAAGTTTGGTAAGCTAACATTGACTGCTTTTATCCCACTTGGATCTATTCTTGTATAATGTGTTCAAAAACATATCCTATTCCTACAATACCTCTTCCTTACCCAATTCCTAAATTTATCCTATGCATTTTAAACACCTCCCCCCCCATCTTTTTTCCTTTATTTAAATGCTTACAGTTTTACAATAAATAGAATACAAGCAAGCGGCAAAGCCTGATCGGAGTTATATGAAAAATCTATAGTAACAGTATAATCCTTTATATATTATGGAAAACATAATCAGTTTTAGCAAAACCTATCCAAATGGAAGAGACCCAATATCAGAGGTTGATTTTAATAGGTTGATTAGTGATTGGTAGAACGTGAAAAATTATTAAATTGTTCATGTAGTGTGTACATGATGTATTAAACTGTGCATTTTAAGAGAATTGCTACAAGAATGTATTCAGTATTCTTCAAGCACATTGGCTAGCTAGCTTGTGATTTACTTTTAAACTAAATAGTTTACCATTTCTTTCTTATTTTCAATGTACAGATACTTATGGTTCTAAGACATTCCTTGGATAGAACTTATAACCTCAAATGAATTAACTGAAAGTACCTCTGCTGCAAGCGCCCATAAAAGCAGACGGAGTCTTGTTCCTACGTCCAAACCATGACCCCAGCTCGTTCAGTTTAACCTGACCAAACGGAGTATCAGCTGGAAAGATGAAACATCAAAATTACATAACCGAATCTCACCATAATCAATCATGGCTATAATATTCGTGTAGCACTTACGTTTTCCATAGTAGCGGGCTGGATCGTAAGGCCCGTGAACTGCAGGGTTATATTCCTTGGGATAATCTCCAAAGCCCATGGTTATTCGGAAATACACCGAATTTTATTTTACCAATAAACCAATTTAATCTACAGCAGCGTTACCAGATTTTATTTGACAGATCTACTAATTATAGCAGAAAAATCTACCATATTCTACTAACTAAAGACTAGGCTTGGGTAAAAAATGTCGATATTTCGAAATATATGATATTTTCTCACAAAATTATCGAAATTTATTGTTGATTTTTTCATCGTGGTATATCCATATTCGATATTTATTTTAGTGTATCGAATTCGTATCAATTTCGATATATCTTAAAATGATATAAAAAGCTTTTAGAAAAATTTTACTTCGCAAATATCCGCGTTATAAAATAAAATGATGTGTCTTACCTAGTATGAAGAGCACCTCCCGCTCTCCCTCAATTGCGTGCACTATCCCCGTCACCACTAATCCCAGCACCGCTACTCCCAACACCACTACACTAGGCAAGACACACCACTGACGACAATACGACACGTGTTTCGCCTCTACATGAGGCATCCTCAGGTGATATAGACTCTACGGTGACCGTAGAGTTATTATATATTATTTTATTACGCGGATATTTGCGAAGTAAAATTTTTCTAAAAGCTTTTTTATATAATGGATTTCCGCAAAGTAACGCCTGATTCTATTAATTAAAATGATATATTAATTGAAAACGTATTACACAATTAAGTTATCAGACAAAACAATTAAGCAACAAAAGCAACTACAAAAGCTTTTACAAACTCTTTTTACGTTGTTAAAACGTCCAGTTATAACATTTTTGGCCTCATCCTACTACATCATGCAAAACATCATCATGATCATTATCGGTACTGTTCGATACTGTTTAAAATATCGATACATTTCTTCACTTTCCTATACCTACTAAAGACTATTGCTCTAAGAGCCAGTGAGTGGCAGACTTTAGGTATTTCAATAAACTTCACGTTATTTTCAGGTAATCCCCTATACCTGTGGTACATGAAATGGGGACTCTTTATTTTGACCAGCGTTTGATATACAAGTTGTCCCAGAACGTAACGATCAAACGAAAGGGGATTGTAGACCATGGAAGGACTGTTCAAAAAAAAATGTCATATACCTAAGTTGCGTGGTTTTTTTTTTATAGGAGAGGGGGCAAACGAGCATGCGGCTCACCTGATGGTAAGTGACTACCGCCGCCCATGAACAACCGCAACACCAGGGGAATTGCAGATGCGTTGCCGGCCTTTTAAAAACAAGTAGGCTCTTTTCTTGAAGGTCCCTAAGTCGTATCGGTCCGGAAAAATCGCTGATGGTAATCGATTCCACAAGGAAGTCGTGCGAGGAAGAAAACATCTTCTAAATCGCACAGTAGTGGACCGCCAATCATCCAGATGGTGTGGATGGTATCGGGAGTTCAGCCGCGATGTGCGTTCGTGAAATTTGGCGGCTGGGATTAATCCGAACAATTCCTCAGAGCACTCCCCGTGGTAAATGCGAAAGAAAATGCAAAGAGATGCAACATCTCTTCGCAGCGCCAATGAGTCGAGCCGATCGGAAAGGACTCTGTCGTCGACGATTCGAGCCGCTCTGCGCTGGATGCGGTCAAGTGGAAGGAGCTGGCACTGGGGAGCCCCTGCCCAGAGATGGGAACAGTATTCCATGTGAGGCCGAACCTGCGCCTTGTAAAGTTGCAGGCGGTGTGCCGGCATGAAATACTGTCCCGCTCTGCTGAGCACGCCAAGCTTTTTAGAGGCCAATTTGGCCTTCTCTTCCAAGTGACCACTAAACTGCACGCCACTCGATATGTCGACGCCGAGGATTCCGATACTGGCTGAGGCAACAAGGGGAGTACCTTGAAACTGAGGAGATACGACAAAGGGGTTCTTTTTAGCGGTAAACGCGCAAACTTGTGTCTTCTGGGGATTAAACTGGACTAGATTTAGTAGAGCATCATCAGTGCTGTCATCCGCATAACAATGAATGCTACCGGTTTGCAACATATCATTGATATGCAGAAAAAACAGCGTTGGTGATAGCACACAGCCTTGTGGAACACCAGCGTTAATAGGCTTGTAGTCGGAGCATGCACCGTCTACAACGACCTTGATGCTCCGATCTGCAAGAAAGCTAGTGATTCAATTGCATAATTTCTCGGGAAGCCCATAGGAAGGGAGCTTCGAAAGAAGCGCTTTGTGCCAAACCCGATCGAAGGCCTTCGCAATGTCCAAACTAACGGCCAATGCCTCCCCCTTAGACTCTACTGCCTCCGCCCATCTATGAGTTAAGTAGACCAGAAGATCACCAGCTGATCGACCCCGACGAAAACCGTATTGGTGGTTACTAATCAGCTGGTGATCCTCAAGGTACCGCATGAGGTGGCAGTTTATAACGGATTCCATTATTTTGGAGAACAAGGGGGTGATGGCGATAGGCCTGTAGTTGGACGGGTCTGAGCGGTCGCCTTTTTTAGGGATCGGGTGGACAAAAGCTATCTTCCATGATTCACTTAATATTACAGACTGGGATATCACGAAAGTCGCAAATAATACAAAATAAGCGTTTCACAGTTTTTATCAATGAAAATATTCTGACAATAAGGAAAATATTAAAATGTTCTGGAAGCTCGTAAGAACTGCCAGGGGAAATTCAAAACAGCCTAGAATGAAAGCTATACGAGACGAGAATGGCTGCATGTTGAATGATGAAGTTTCGAATTTAAAGAGATGGAAGGAATACTTTGAAAGCGTGTTTAAGAGTGAAGAGTCGTCTGAAATAAGTGAAATAGAAATTCCGGAAGAAGTGGAGAGAGGTAGGGAGATAAGTGTAGATGAAATAATGAAAGCAATGAAAAGCATGAAAGCAGGTAAGGCAGCCGGATATGATAGAGTATCACTCGAAATGCTAAGGGCTGGTGAGGGTGTGGTTGCAGGCCTGCTGTACACCTTGTATAATTTATGTTGGGAACTGAAGCGGGTACCGGAAGACGGGTGCAAAGCCGTTATAGTCCCAATATATAAGGGAAAGGGGTCGCAGCAGGACTGTAAAAACTACCGTGGTATCAGTTTGCTTAGCATTGTGGGTAAACCGTATGCTAAGGTGTTAATTGAAAGAGTTATGGAAGAAACTGATGGAAAAATTTGGGATGTGCAAGCTGGATTTAGAAAGGGGATGGGGTGTACGGATCAAGTCTTTTCCATGCGCATGATAGTGGAGAAGTTTTTGGCCAAAAACCAGAAAGTTTTTGTGCGTTCATGGACTTGGAAAAGGCTTACGACAGAGTGGACAGGAATGTGTTATGGCAAACACTGAACTCATTTGGGTTGAGCGCTGGCTTGATACAGGCATTAAAGTCTCTTTATAGGGACTCTAGTGCTTGTGTCAGGATCAACGGGGTGTACTCGGACTGGTTTGGCATTCATAAAGGTGTCAAACAGGGATGTGTGGCTTCCCCGTGGCTGTTTAACCTATTTATGGACAGTTGTTAGCAAACTTTGAAAGTTGAAGAATGTGGGTTGAGAATGGGTGAGTCAACCGTCAAATGCCTTTTGTATGCCGATGATCAAGCCATATTTGAATCGTCGGCGGCCGAGTTGAAAATGATGGTTACTTTAATTAATTGGTCATTGAAAGAAAGGGGTATGAAAGTGAACGCAAGAAAGACGAAAGTGATGGTTTTTGAAAGAGAAGAAAGTAAAACTTTATGTGAAATAAGAATAGAAGGGGAGTTGATTGAGCAAGTGGATGAGTTTGTATATTTGGGATGTTTATTTAGCAGGGATGGTAGATATGATAAGGATATAGAACGACGAGTGAACGCAGGAAATAGAGTGAATGGGGCTCTACACGCTATTATGAGGAGTCAGAATGTGTCAACTAAGACACGTATGGCAATTCATAATGCTGTGTTAGTCCCTACTTTAATGTATGGTAGTGAAAGTTGGGTCTGGCAGAAGAAGCATGAGGGTAAAATAAATGCTGTAGAAATGCGTTCCTTAAGGAGTATGCTAGGGCTGAATCTGAATGACAGGGTGAGAAATAGTGTGATAAGAGAAAAGTGTGGTTTGCAAGATGACGTTGTGACAAGGATTAAGAAAGGAATGCTTCGGTGGTTTGGTCATGTAGAAAGAATGAACGAGGAAAGAGTGACAAAGCAAATTTATGTTGCAGAAGTGAACGGCAGGGTCGGGAAGGGACGCCCTAGACGAAGGTTTATCAACCAAATCGGCGATTAAAAATGGGCCAGATTAGGACTACCCTTAACCGACGAGCGTGTATGCGTAGATATATGGATGTAAAAGAGGTGAGAGAGGTGTGTCAGGATCGCGCCAAATGGAAGTCCGTAGTCTCTGCCTACCCCTCTGGGTGACAGGCGTGAGTGTTTATGTATGTATGTAATATTCTGACACCACAACTTGTCTGCCATCAAAGACTGTGGAGCCAAACAACAAAAAACCGATACGCTAATAGAGATAGGAAAAGTATGCCACGTCCTGCTCACACATAAACATTTTCCATATATTATGTCGTCTTACTTTCGCAATTATTATTAAGAGCATGTCTATTACTATTCTCTGTCTACGGTACTATAGCACTCGTTCTAATCCAGTTTGATTTTCTGTTTTTTTTTTTCGAGGAAGGGCCCATATCTGAATTCAATTTTACTCATAACAAAAGAACAAAACTTTTTAAACTTCTCTATATACAAATAAAAAAACTGAAGTATCTGTTTGTAATGTCAAAATTACGGCTTTTTACTAAATGTATATGAAAGTAAATACGGTACTTACAGTAAAAATAATTTTTTTTTTATTTTTGTCTGTCTTTCTGTTTTTTCCGGCTAATGACTGAAATGACTGGGCCGATTTTGACGGGACTTCCACTGACAGATAGCTGATGCTATAAGAAGTAACTTAGGCTACGTTTATTTGAGAAAAAGAATTATGGTTTCGCGCAAAAAAAGTTTAAACCCCAAATAATACGCGGACGAAGTCGCAGGGAACAGCTAGTAGAGTATCAAATATTTTTAGTGTATTTTTGTACTTTGACAAAGAAGCTAGAAGGAATCCCTGAAATTCCTCAGACTCCTGAAGTAGGCAGTTCATCAGATGTAATTCCTATAAATATGGGTTATGTTATTTTTTTAAAGTAAAATAAAAAACATCGGTGTAAACAATTCGTTTTGCAAACTACTACGAAACTGCTGTTAAAGCTACTGTATAAGGATACGTTATTAACATCAATGGCACGTACATCACTCACTTTTGATTTGTCGACGATATAGTTCTTGTGGTAGAATCGCTGGAAGACCCAAAACACAATACTCAATAGTGCCTCACAACGGATAGGTCTGTAACGTCCATGTCACACCTATGCCGGTAGTTGTTCGGAGCATTATTTGTTAACGAGTACGTTTAGCTGGGTCAAATAGTCCGACTAGGTAAGTTCAACTTCGACCGAAAGGTCAATTGACGGATTCGACTCGGCAGGACCGCGTTCAGGACATTACGACACATTTTCTCGTCTGGTCAAAACTTGAAAACGAGATTGTACAACCAGTGCGTGTTGGCAGTGATAGCTTATGGATCTGAGATTTTGTCCTACACTGATGGCCGTATGATGAAGCTCAAGGTTACTCAGTAAGCTATGAAGAGGGCTATGCTCGGGGTTAAAAATATTACATAAAATGAACATAAGTTCTTAGTATATGGATTTGAAATATTACGTATAGCAATAAAAATAATAAACAAATTTAAAGCTTTATTTAGGCACAAACATACACAATGCTGCAAGAATTTACCACTATTATTGCAAGATAACTAGCATTTTTTGCAGATTTTCACTTTAGTGATGGTGACAGGTTCTGGAAAAATAATACAGTTACACTGAAATAAACTTCTAACCCCAGTTTATACAGCTTTTGTTGAATCAATACTGTCTTACTGCATTCCAATGTGGGGAGGAGCATCAAAAAATAATTTCTTTGAATTAGAACGTAGTCAACGAGCCTTAAAGTTATGTACTGAAAACCTTATTGTTTCACCACAAAAGAGCTATACTCAATAAACAACTTATTGAGTGTGAGAAAGATATGAATATTGCAACTAATACTAAAGAGGCATGAGACAGTAACTATAAATATAAACTCGAAGAAGAAAAGAAGAGTAAACATAGGTGTAGAAACAGATATTCTAAAAACTAAATTTGCTAGTCATCAGTATACTAAGTAATCAGCTTATATATACAAGAAGGTGAATAGTTTGATAAAAATATATTCTTTAAATATATACGAATTAAAAAAGTTCCTAACTGACTGACTTACAAAATTAAATTATGAAAAAAAAGAGGCTTATTCCATGAAATCACTTAAAATGCACTCCAAAAACAATAACACACACACACACAAACACACACACGCAAGCACACTCACGCAAACATGCACACACCCACTCAAACTATTTTTTGTTATTAATTAATATTAAGTTTTGTTATTATAAGACTATTTTAATGTTTTAGAAATTATTTAAAAAGTTTGAAATTTTTAAAGAAATTTTCTAGGGAAGAGCGGGACATCCTGTCACAGGTATACATTTACTTAAAAGGCTGTTCCAACAACGGATTAATGTATCAATTTAACAACCTATGTAATAATAATAAATAATAAAAATAATAATAAATCACTCGTCACCTGAATTCAAATCAGGTGATGTCGCGCGCTCAAAATGGATGTCGGGGTGGTGGTCGTGGAATGACGCGGTCATTGGGAATGGGGTTAAACGCAACGGTCGGAACCTCTCTGCCACCTGGATAGACTACAAAAATGCATTCGATTCGGTGCCTCATACATGGCTGAAGAGGGTCCTCGAGCTGTACAAGGTTGACTGTACAGAGTTCAGATTGACACCGAGCACCTATTGATCCGGAGCCTGCATTGGGGACGGTCATAGAGCAACAAGGACCACTGGCGAACCGTATTGTGGCCCGTGGTGCTTTATGGGAACGATAAATCATTAATCACTAACTAGTAATAAGAAGTGGTAGATCATTATGTAATCATTATGATAATAAAAATATACTAAACGTAGTGTGTATTGTAGGTTGTAGGTATATAATCATATATTCTTTGGTAATGTGATTTTTATTGTATCACACAATGAAAATATGCTCATAAAGAAACTACGGCGAAGGCGAATTGTAGTGATTATTTATAACTTAGAAACTAGCGTAGGAACGAATAAGTGCTAACTAAACTCATAAGTGAGAGTTTAGTCAAGAACTTGGACACAGGTTGATTGCTGCTCCTGTATTGTTGTTTAAATAATGGTTTTAAGTGGAATTAGATAAGTGGTACGATTTTGTGTCTTAAAATGTTTGCGCATATAAACTATTAGTGAATATGGTGAAACTAGTGCTCTGATGGTGACGTGAACCTCAGGATAACGTATCTGCTTAGGTGATTTATGGTACAATCGCCATTAACGAGGACATCCACGAATTTATCTGCATCCTAGGTGGCGCGACTTAAAAATCCGGTCCAGTATTTGACAGATCTCATAACGGGAAAGATAATTTGTTCGAAAATGTAAAGGATAATGTTTCTTTCCGTACTATTAGTCATATTTTATATTAATTAGATGACAAATAATTAAACCAAAGAGATATTCATAAATATAGAAAAATTTAAAAAAAAGTGTGTATTAATATGATACTCTAGAAACTGATAAACTTTTATTTAAAACTAACTTTTCAATTTAAAGACATTGTGTAATGAAAACTTCACCTCAGGGTCAACTAGCGACATCTGGTGAGCGGAAAATTATTAGCCCTCACTGTCTGCCAGCATAAGTTGCCGTTAGACAGTGAGTGAATCTCCCAAAAACTTTGCAATGTTTAATTTCTTATTACCTGATACTGGCGAACCGTCAATCGAAAGAGTCTACAATCTCTGTCTACGCTAGAAGTCAATATAGTCGCTATATCCATACTCCATGGATATATCCTTAAAAAGAGTTGACATTGGCAGAATTCGTTACTACAATATTGCCTAGGGATGGTCGATGTTGTAGAAACATCGATGATGACATCGATGTTGGCCATTATCGATGTTTTTTTGCACATGTATTTAATAGGTTAGAATTAGATGAATAGAAAAAATTGTCATGTTGTTTATGGTTTACAATTAATGAAATAAAAGAAATTAATAAACAATGTAGTATAAAATAGTAATTAAAAAAAAATTGTAAGAAGTTCACAAATATCTAATTCACTTGTTATATTGTCCAATATATTTGCAGATTGATTGAAGAAATAGTAATTTTGACAAAAAAGTAACTTTTAATCTGTTTCTTTGTTGATAAAGAGTTGAGCCGGCTATTGAAAATAATTTAAAAATAAAATTTTGTACAACTGACTTAACGATAACTCAAAAACTATTGGTCAGACTTATATGGGTCGAATTTATATCGGACTACATGTAAAGAACCAAATTTCAAATAAAAAAAGAATTATCGAAATCGGTTCACCCAGAAAAAAGTTATGAGGTAACACACATTAAACAAAAGAACATACTGTGGAATTGAGTACCTCCTCCTTTTTGAAGTCGGTGGATGACCGCTCAGATGACGCTGATGTAGCGATTGTGGTCAAATATCGCACCGGAAGTTTTCTTTTTAATTTTAGGTAGGTGGAACCGATAACATTGTTCTAAACGTGCATTGGATCGTGTTTAGGATAAACCATCGGATTTGTTTTTAAAACAACCGATAAAGAAACAGATAACCAACAACGACACCAATAACAAACGAAATCAGTGACAACTGCGACATTACAGTTGACACTTGACAGTTAAATTTAATACCCCATAATGATATATTTTCAGGTTATCGATGCATTCAAGCATTCTGAAGTATTAAAAATTTTAAATATTTTAGAGGTTTAAATTTTAAAGATTTAGTTGATATTGATTTCGCGGATTCGCAAGTACACAATAATCGATTATGGCTTTAATGACATCGATGTTTCGATGTTTGACATGTGGCAACATCGATGTTAAAACATCGATCGACCATTCCTAATATTGCCATAAACTAAAAATATCGTAAGTTCGTAAGTGAAAACTGGAAACACTCATACAGTTTTGTCATTGTCATAGAGTTTTGGCGGGAAATTGACCGGCGGCGGTTTGCTGCTCCTGTATTATTGTTTAAATAATGGTTTGAAGTGGACTTTGATATGTAAAAGTGTTGCGATTTTGTGTATTAAGTGTCTACGCATGTGAACTATTAGTGGAAACAGTGAAACAAGTGCTCTGATGGTGATGGATTCTCAAGATAAGCTGTTTGTTTGCATAGGCACCTTTAGATACCATCGCCAACTATCAGCTGTCTGCTGGATCAAGTTGCCGCCAAAATCTCCCAAGAACTGCACAATGTGACGCATCAACATATTGTGAAGCAGTATACTATGAAGGAGTGGGGAAATTACAATAAACCGAATAAAAATACTTAAGACTTGGCCTAAAGGTCTAGATACCAGGCCATAAACTCCAAAAAAAAAAAGTCATTGTCATATTTTCATTTTATTATCTGTTCTGTAATTAGACAGCAAATTTTGTTCTTTGAAGACACTGTAATTATTTGTATTTTCATTTTCAGTAACTAAACTAACTAAAAATGGTTCTTGAAAGTACTATGATATGTGTAGATAACAGTGACTACATGAGGAATGGCGATTTTCTTCCAACAAGACTGCAAGCTCAGCAGGATGCTGTAAATTTGGTATGTCATTCAAAAACACGATCAAACCCTGAAAATAATGTTGGGCTTCTTACGCTTGCGAACGTAGAAGTACTAGCTACGCTCACGAGTGATGTCGGCCGCATATTATCCAAGCTACATCGTGTGCAACCCAACGGCAATATCAATATCTTAACTGGTATAAGGATTGCTCACTTGGCACTTAAACATCGCCAAGGAAAAAATCATAAAATGCGCATAGTTGTTTTCGTCGGTTCTCCTATTAATACTGATGAGAAAGAACTGGTTAAATTAGCTAAGAGATTAAAAAAGGAGAAAGTCAATTGTGATGTTATTTCCTTTGGTGAGGATGCTGAAAACAATCCTTTGCTGACATCTTTTGTAAATACACTTAATGGTAAAGATAACACATCTGGGGGCAGCCATTTAGTTTCTGTTCCAGCTGGTGGTTGCGTTGTCTTATCTGAAGCTTTGATCTCGAGTCCTTTAATTGGCGGAGATGGAGCAGGGCCTTCAGGCTCTGGTTTATCTCCATTTGAATTTGGTGTTGATCCTAATGAAGATCCTGAGCTTGCTCTTGCTTTGCGTGTGTCCATGGAAGAGCAGAGACAGCGCCAAGAGGAGGAATCACGAAGGCAGCAAGGCAACACTGATACTGAAATGAAAGAAAGTAAGACTGGCGAGTCTCAAAATAGCGGAATGGAGAGAGCTCTTGCCATGTCATTAGGGCGAGAAGCAATGGAACTTTCAGAGGAAGAACAAATTGCATTGGCCATGGAAATGAGCATGCAACAAGAAGCACCACAAGCTGAAGAGGGAATGGATGTATCAGAGGAATATGCTGAAGTAATGAATGACCCTGCATTTCTCCAAAGTGTCCTTGAAAACCTACCTGGAGTTGATCCTCAAAGTGAGGCTATACGTAACGCCATGTCGACAATCAAAAAGGATAAAGAAGATAAGGAAGAAAAGGATCAGAAAGATAAAGATGGAAAGGGTTCAAGTTCAAAAGACTAATGCCTTTTTCAATTTTTTTAATTAATATAACTATGCTCGTAAACTTCAATAAATATATTGCAAACAGCACTTATCCATCTTCTTAATTAGAGAATTAATAATGTAATGATGTTTTATTTTAACTTCTGATTCACTTCCATGAAATCCAGTTAAGTCCTTCTATGTAATTGTACTCTGTAAAAAAGGTTTAAATTTTTTTGGAAAAAAATATATTACAAATATTTAATTTTTTATTTATTTTTTATTATTATAATCCAGCACTTGACTGCTATCCCACCTGATGGTGAGTAGTGTTGTAGTGGAAGAAGGTGCTTACTGACATAGATTAAAAGCAAATTAATTTTTGTCTTGAAGACACCCACTTTGTAATTTGATGGAAAGACAGATGCAGATAAAATATTCTACCCCTTTGCTGTGTTCGTGACAAACCATAACTGGGTGCATATCAACAACAACTGGGTGGAGACTAGCTGAGTATCTGTTTGTGTGATGGAGGGGTAGGAAGTAATTCATGAAAAGATTGAACATTTTAATATCGGTTTCATCCTCTTAATTTGGAAGGGTCACATCTTATCATTACTAACTCTAATGTAATGTTAAGTTACAGATCAGAACAATCATGATTCTTTTATACTCAATAATAGTACAAAAACATTTGAATAAAAAAAAGATTGAACTACCCGTAAGTAATACAGAAACAACACATTTGCTTCTGCAATCACTGAAAAAAGAGCATTTTTGACAAAACACTTATTGCATTTAGCTGTGGCGCGGCGCTATGGGGCACCAAAATCCCGTACCAAATAGTTGTGTGTACTGCCTTCAAAAATATGTTATCTCATACTTGACTCGTTCCAGAATGACTTGGTCTTGTATTTCATCTTCGCTTTTATCAATTGTTTCCTCCTCTCATATTCGTTAAGCGGTTTTGGCTTTGCAACCTCTTTTTCACTATCTGAAATTGAAATCTGTACATAATATTCTAAATAGTTATCAGCGTGGAAGTATCGGTTCAGTGCTGAACAACTCTATGAGAGAACAACTCAACACAATCGCCTTTATAGGTCCGATCCCCTGACCGACTTGAAAAACCATCCAAAAAACCCTGAAACCCAAATTTCTGAGATCAGTAAAGGAAAGCGGAGCAACTTTAACAGGGCAAAGGTATAGGCTGTGGCCTCTAAACCTGCTTACTTAGCATCCCTTTCTACGCGGCCTCCAACTTCATTCACGCAACGGTCGCCCGTATGTCCGATGCGCGAAAGCCAGGAGGTCAGGAAAATCGAGCACTCAGAAACATTAGCCTTCCTGATCCCAGCGGCAGATCTAGTCGAAGCCATACCGCCGCTATTCAAGATTCTCCCACCGCAGCCTCACCACCACCGCATGAACGGTGCGGCCCCGCTACTCGCGTAGGATAGGGCGAGTGGAACAAAGTCTTACCAACACTCCTCTTCCTACGGGACTCCACCTCGGATGCGGCGGTAGAGGGAGAGGACAGCCCCCCGCCGCTGTCCACTAACACACATCTGAAGTGGGATATTCAACGAGCCTGCTTTAACCTAATCTATCATTTCGAGTAAACTACTAATATCATATGGTATATTATAGGTACCATCCACAAATAATTTATAAGAGATTAAGATTACAAATGAGGTAGTATACAAACACCTCCATAAGCTTAGACGTAACTAAAAGGTCTGGTTCAGAAGTACTGGTTATGGTCTATACAAACTGCATTTTAAGAATGCTTTAAAAATATAGAGTACTAAGAACACAACAATTATTTCTTTAGTATTGATCCTTTTTGCACGTCCAAGCTCATATTCAAACCACAAGTCTCAGATTGGGGGCGACTAAATCTAGTCCAGTTCAATCCCCAGAAGACACAAGTTTGCGCGTTTACCGCAAAAAGAACCCCTTTGTCATTTCCTTCAGTTTCAAGGCACTCCACTTGTTGCCTCAGCCAGTATTGGAATCCTTGGTGTCGACACTTAGAATGACGTGCAGTTTCGTGGTCACTTGGAAGGGAAGACTAAATTGGCCACTAAAAACTTGGCGTGCTTAGCAGAGCGGGAAAGTATTTCATGCTGGCACACCGCCCAAAACTTTAAAAGGCGCAGGTTCGGCCGCACGTGGAATACTGGTCCCATCTCTGGGCCGGGGCTCCCCAGTGCCAGCACCTTACTTTTGATCATATCTAGCACAGAGCGGTTCGAATCGTCGGCGACCGAGCTTTTTTTACCGGCTTGACTCACTCGGGCTGCGAAGAGATGTCGCATCTCTGCGTAATATATTGTATCTACCACGGGGAGTGCTCAGAGGAATTGTTCGGACTAATTCCAACCGCTCAGTTTCACCATCGCACATCGCGACAGAACACGAAATACCACCCGTTTCATCTGGATGATTGTCGGTCCAGTACTGTGCGATTTAGAAGTTTTCTTCCTCGCACAACTTCCTTGTGGAATCGAATACCACCGGCAATTTTTCAGGACCAATACGACTTAGGGACCTTCACGAAAGGAGCCTACACTTTTTTAAAAGGCAATTACCCTGGTGTTGCAGTTGTTCATGGGCGGCGGTAGTCATCATCAGGTGAGCTGTACATTCGTTTGTCCACTCTCATATAAAAGAAAAAAAACACCTACGCACACAAGCAATCTTAACATTATTGGCTATCACATTAATTACCATGTTTTACCTTTCCTTCAATATTACGATTATTAACAGCATTTTTGTTTAAAAGTATATAAGAGCTTTTGATATCTTCCAATTGTGGTCTGTATTTGCTGAGATCGTATTTCGGAACTAGAAAAAAAAAAATGTTTTTAAGAACAGCGGACATCATTGTGATATAATTTACAATCTACATGACGAGCATAAGATCAAGGCCTTGAAATAGTTAACTGCTTTTAGACTGTATGCTATTTTTATACAAATAGTTTGCTGTAGTGCCTTGTGCTGTTAGTTGTGACAATAGTAGTGCGAAACATTCACATCAAACACAAGAACCTTGTAGAGCCATGTTCGTAGTAGGTATATGGTTCTCATTACGTAAACAGAAATGGGTGGATTAGACCGTGGCAGGGCCACGCTCTCACAGAATACCAGCTACAAATTTGGAGCATAGTGCTACTGTTTCATTTGGTAATTAGTGTGAACCGGATGGCCATTTTACTTGTAACGACCAATTGGATCTTGATTCTCTGTTCTTAGGGGTGACTCATCTACATTTAGATTCTTAGTCGGTAATAGATGTAGGTGTTCATGAGGCAGAGTATCCTATGAGCGCATCCACGACTTTTTATGCCACGCCAGCGGCGCCACTTAGGACTGAGGTGAAATATTTAACAGATAATGATTTTTTGTATTAACGCGTACACTATGTGTAGTGTAAATAAAACTAATTTTACATATTCTATCGCGTTTAACTTAAATTTTTAGTTCCCGATGTTTCGGGTGCTATACCTATATTATATAACTACAGCATCGGCACGTCAAACACCTCAGTGCCGCCCGTGACCATGAGTGCTGTAAAGTACCCTAAACCACATGAGTAGATAAACGGAACGGTGACAAAGTTTCTTAAGAATGTGCAAAATTGTTACTACTATTTTCGTACGGTTGTCACAATAAGTGAAGACAAATTAAATAAATCATTTGTTAAATAGTTTTATTTATTCAGAATGATAGAATACTTTACAAATTACATAATCTAATAATTTTCTTTTTTATTTTGTTTTTTAATAATTTATTGTTTCTTTTTGTGGTAAATTCTGAGTCTAAGATAAAGTTTTTTCAAGTAATCTAACGGGAAACACTCACATGGCATATCAAATTTACAATCTTTAATATGTTTAACCCCATGTAGTGGCGGGTAGGAATACAGCTGGCCGACTTCATGGAGAAAGAGGAACTCTTTATGATGAACTCTTTCTTCCAGAAGCGGCCCCATAGGAAATGGACCTAGTCGAGCCCCGACGGTTCGACAAAAAATGAGATTGACTTCATTATGACTAGAAGGCAACTGTTCTGTGATGTCTCAGTGATCGTGAGGGTGAAAACTGGTAGCGATCACCGAATGGTCAGAGACACACTGAACCTAAACGTTAAGTTGGAGAGGTGTCGTCTAATGAAGTCAACGCTCCGTCCCCCTCGTGCTTTAATCCAAAGTCCAGAAACCTTTCAGCTCGAGTTACAAAATCATTTTCAGTGCCTAGAAGATTGCAATGCAGTTGACAATATGAGTGACAAGCTCGTAGAAACTGTCCATGTAGTCGGAGTTAAGTTTTGCAAGACCCGCCGTAGAAGAACACAAAAACTCTCCGATCACACTTTTAATCTCATGGCTGTTAGACGGGAAATGAAGCTGCACTCTTCAGTAGATTTGATAGCATACAGGCAACTGAATAGACAGATCTCCAGATGCATGTGGCGGGACCTACGCGACTTTAATATTGCTCGTATTGAAGAAGCGATCAAGCGGAACCAGGGCTCCAAAGTCTTTGCCAGAGATCTGTCTGCCAAAAAGAGCCAACTGTCAAAGCTGAAGACCGAGTGTGGCAGCGTCGTTTCCGGGACACCTAAGAATTTGAGTGAGATTGAGAGGTTCTATGGGCAGCTGTACACATCATCGTTGGAACCTCATGCAAATGTGAGTAATGATCTAAGAGCAAGTCTTATCCGACACTATTCCGATGATTTTCCGGACGTCAGTCTGAGCGAGATTAGAATGGCTCTCCAGCACCTTAAAAACGGCAAGGCCCCAGGCGAGGATGGAATTACAGCGGAGCTTCTGAAAGCGGGTGGAAAACCGGTACTTTTAGTCCTTCAGAAGCTCTTTAATTCCGTCCTTCATGGTGGCTCTACACCGGAGCCGTGGAGCAGAAGTGCGGTGATCTTGTTCTTTCAGAAAGGCGACAACGCTCTCTTGAAGAACTACACTGTACTGTTTTAGAAAGTCATTACGAATCGTCTCGCATGCAGCCGTATGAGGAAGCTCAAGCTCGCTCAGCGAGCTATGGAGAGGGCTATGCTCGGGGTTTCTCTGCGTGATAAACTTATAAATGAGGATATCCGCAGTAGAACCAGAGTGACCGACATAGCCCAACGGATTAGTAAGCTGAAGTGGCAATGGGCCGGCCATATAGCTCGAAGAAGCGACAACCGATGGGGAAAAAAAGGTTCTCGAGTGGCGGCCTCGTACCGGCGGACGAAGTCTAGGGCGTCCCCCCACTAGATGGAGTGACGACCTGGTAAGACGTACAGGAAGTCGATGGATGCAGATGGCTCAGGATCGTACTTTGTGGCATTCCTTGTAGGAGACCTATGTTCAGCAGTGAACTTGTGAAGGGCTGTAATGATGATGATGATTAATGCATTTAAGTACGAGTATTTCGTTGCCAAAATTGACAATATTTATTTCAAAATCGAGATATTCGCGAAATTTCGCTCGAGCAATTCAACAAATGCGATATAATTATAAATAGTTAAATGGAGATCTATGGCAACCGATATTTTTTTATTATTTTGCATTGTTATATGGCTCTATTATTTATTAATATATAAATAAATAGATTAAAAATTTAATTTGCTTGCGTAGCGATATTAGGTTATTAAAATGAAAAATGTCATACAATTTGGTATATTTGAAACTGGTTGCACTTTTGGACTGAATGAATTCTTTAGTGTGTCAATTTGACTGCGTCTTGGTGATTGATCTTTTGAACCTGTAACAGAAATTAAGCGTGTTGTGAAAGAAATTAAGAGAAATTAAGTAAATTTTATTTTATCTAGTGCATTTGCCACATCTAAAAATATACCAAAATACGTCTGCCAAGTGATGTAGAAATAAAAGCTGTGAGGAATTCCATATTAGTCCTCAGGAGTTAAGACGCTTCAGTAGCTTTCTGTGGCTAAAATTTGTACAATATTTTGTCCTTAATATTGAGGTCATTTCTCAAATAACTTAAATTAAATAATTTATCCAATTTAAACATTAACAATCTCTTTGGAAAACAAAAAAAAAACTGCGTGTCGGGCCATGCACAATGTAGACACGTCATAATACGTGGGCTCCCTTGATAATGAGCATAATAAGTGAGTTCGCGGTTTGAGCTCCATAACGACTAAAAATGGGCCCATTTAGGAAGATTGTCACCGAAGGACTTATTACCATATGATTCTAATGGAAAATACCACTTTAAAGCTAAATATTTCGCAAACGGAATCGACAAGATGTTGTTCCACACCCCCAATGTTTTTAAAGACATATCTAACGATACCACACGATGGAATAGAAGGGTAAAAAAAATCATAATCCATTTACTTGAATGGAAAGTACCCAAAATCAAATTTTTTTTAAAGATTTTATATCACAGTTTTGTAGGCATGATTAATATCTATAACTATGTCAAATTACGGATTTGTAGCACCTAGGGTCTCTGAGTAAAACCGCGGGCGGACGGACGGACATGGCGAAACTATAAGGGTTCTTTGTTGTGTAACTACGGAACCCTAAGTATAAAGATTTTGATAAAGATCAATAAACAGTCGCGGGATGTCGTAGCACCCTACATGAAGTTTGACATGATCTCAGTTGGCGACAGCTGGCTATCCATAGTCCTTCTAACCTCTTAGTGGTGCGTTTTTAGGCTCCTTGAAGTTGCACAAGATCACACATCAGATACGTTCACAAGTTAATAAATTTAAACTCACGTTCATTTTTACGTATAAAAATGTCTGAGATATTGACAACACGCCGCGCGGCCTAAGCGTGTATTATTACTGCCTATTGCGTGTTAAGAAATATTTATTACTGCTTCGAGTCTTTATTACACAGGCCCACGCCATAGAGAGTCTTTAAAAAAGCAACTTATACATCCCATGTACATGGGACTTATGTAATGTGTTACTGGGTTTGTGTATGGTGACTGTGCTGGCGATAAGCTAGGCATTTATCACTTCATTCATAATGTTTCATCTACTCGTAAGTGCATGTTTTTGGTTAAATTTGGTCCAAGTAGCTTACTGCTCTTTAGACCATAGATATTCTAACGTCAGTTTATAATAAATCTATGCTTTAGAGTCTGTCTATTAGCTCGGTGATTACTGGTGTGACGCTACGTATGAATGTGTTAAATGGTGAACCGGGGTTCGAACTGGTCGCTAGTGTACTAAATTTAAATATATCGTATAATAAATCGATCGCCTTTCCCCTGAACCCGAAAGTTATTTTGTGATGTGTGTATGCACACATGTGAGTGTGTGTGTGTGCGCGTGCGTGTGCGTGCGCGCGTGTGTGTCTGTGTGTACGTGCGTGCGTGTGCATACGTATGTGTCTGTGTATATCTCACATACCTTTACTTTTTCTATCATTCAGATTAACATAAGGAGTGGTGGCTTGTTCTTTTTCTTTACTAGAGGATCTACTTCTTATTTTTTTTGTGTCTGAAACAAATTTGCAGGCAGTTTTATACTTCATAAAATACATAATAATGAAATTTTAATTTAAACCGTTTGTGTACCGTTAGGCGCTTTGTCTTCTCGCATAAATTCCATTTGAATTCTGGGGCTGGTGTTAAATCGTGGTCTAGTTACCAATGACGATTGTAATGCTGAAATTATTTTATTTATTTATTTCATGTTACAAGTATTCATATTAAAGATACATAGAATTTATAAAACATTATTTATGTATTAAAGTTATATAGTTGACAACAACAATGATATTTGATATATTATATACTAAAATTTAAATTATAACTATACGCCTCGAATTCTACTCTCTTCTCTCTCTTTTTATTTTATCGTATTTTTGTTTTAATGACGTGTATTTGTTTAGGCACTGGAAACCTACGAAACGTTTTTGAGGGATCACTTACCTTCAAAGAATTTCACTTTCAGACTAGTCCAAAGTGACGAATTGCAATAGTTTTCTTTTTTTATAAAATTGAAGTAACAAACGAACTGACAGTCCACCTGATGGTAAGTGACTACTGTAGCCCATGGTTCCCTGCCACTGACTTCAACAAAAAAGTAGCCTTCTGTTCCTTTGTTGAAGTTGCGTCACTTCTGAGGATCAAAATGCAATGTGTCACAGCCTGTAATAATACGAGCTCCTTAAACCCTTCAGACCGGAACACTGAAGGCAGATGAGATGCTATTTGGCGAAAGAAATAATATTAGTAGAAACTGGTTCACACATCTCAATATACTTTAGAATTAGTGTTAGATTTCAGTGACAAATGATTCATACACGTGGTAGAGCCACACTGTAGCTGTTATAAGGGTCAATATAAATTGGGTCGGTTCGACCGGGTAGAACAACGCTCGTACAGATCATACCTGCGTAAAATAGCAGAAGTGTGTTTCGTATAGTGACCGACAAAAACTTTAGACCCTTTTTCCAGTAACTTTAGTTGTTTTTTTTTTCATACCGGCCTTATATAGGGCGTTAGATAATTTCCAGAACCTTCTACTGTAGAAATATCTAGAATGTTCGAGTACATACCGGTCCCGACTGACTAGGTGTCGATAGTTCTAGAAATTTCTTCCATGGAAATTTCTAGAAGGATCTTGACTCTCCTAGTTCTGCTACTCGATACTAGAGGGCGCTAGTGGTAACTAGTGTTGCCATGTTCCAAGCATTAATGGTGGCGCTCAACAATAGCAAGGAGTGCTAATTAGGTGCTGAAAGATTATTGAGGTCGTATGTAGATGATGGGGGTGCTAAGAATCTCCGGTGGAGGTTCGGTTGCCACCTACGACGACTCGACCTGGCAACATACAACGCACGCACCCTGAGGACTGACGAGAAGATTGTGGAGCTGGAAGAAGAGATAGACAAGTTACGCTGGCATATTATAGGATTATCCGAAGTCCGAAGAGAGGGGGAGGACACGGTAATCCTCGAATCCGGCAACTTGCTCTATTACCGGGAGGGCGACCATCTGTCCCAAGGAGGTGTCGGATTTATCGTCCACAAGTCTCTCGTTAACAACGTTGTAAAGATTGAGAGTGTGTCGACGAGGGTTGCGTACCTTATACTCAGAATCACCAAACGGTATTCGTTGAAGGTCATACAGGTTTACGCACCAACCTCGGCACACCCCGATCAGGAGGTGGAGGAAATGTATGAGGATATCTCTAGAGCCATGCATTCCTCCAAAACCCAATATACGGTGTTAATGGGAGACTTCAATGCAAAACTAGGCACAAGAGAGAACGGTGAGCTGAAAGTAGGGAAATTTGGAATAGGGCAACGGAACCCAAGGGGCCAGCAGTTGGCTGACTTTATGGAGAAAGAGGGACTCTTTATGATGAACTCTTTCTTCCAGAAGCGGCCCCACAGAAAGTGGACCTGGTCGAGCCCCGACGGTTCGACAAAAAATGAGATTGACTTCATTATGACGACCAGACGACAACTGTTCAGTGATGTCTCAGTGATCGCGAGGGTGAAAACCGGCAGCGATCACCGAATGGTTAGAGGCCCACTGAACCTAAACGTTAAGTTGGAGAGGTCTCATCTAATGAAGTCAACGCTCCGTCCCCCTCGTGCTCTAATCCAAAGTCCCGAAACCTTTCAGCTCGAGTTACAAAACCGTTTTCAGTGCCTAGAAGACTGCAATGAAGTGGACGATTTGAATGACAAGCTCGTGGAAACTGTCCATGCGGTCGGAGCTAAGTTCTGCAAGACCCGCCGCAGAAGAACACAAAAACTCTCCGATCACACTCTTAATCTCATGGCTGTTAGACGGGAGATGAAGCTACATTCTTCAACAGATTTAACAGCATACAGGCAACTGAACAGACAGATCTCCAAATGCATGCGGCGGGACTTACGCAACTTCAATACAGCTCGTATTGAAGAAGCGATCGAGCGGAACCAAGGCTCCAAAGTCTTTGCCAGAGATCTGTCTGCCAGAAAGCGCCAACTGTCAAAGCTGAAGACAGAATGTGGCAGCATCGTTTCCGGGGCACCTGAGATTTTGAGTGAGATTGAGAGGTTCTATGGGCAGCTGTACACGTCATCGTTAGAGCCGCACGCAAGTGTGAGTAACGATCCAAGAGCGAGTCTTATCCGACATTATTCCGTTGATATCCCGGACGTCAGTCTGAGCGAGATTAGAATGGCTCTCCAGCAACTTAAAAACGGCAAGGCCCCAGGCGAGGATGGAATTACAGCGGAGCTTCTGAAAGCGGGTGGATTCAGAAGCTCTTTAATTCCGTCCTCCATGGTGGCATTACACCGGAGGCGTGGAGCAGAAGTGCGGTGGTCTTGTTCTTCAAGAAAGGCGACAACGCTCTCTTGAAGAACTACAGACCGATATCCCTTCTGAGCCGCGTCTACGTGCTGTTTTCGAGAGTCATTACGAATCGTCTCGCGCGCAGACTTGACGACTTCCAGCCTCCCGAACAAGCCGGTTTCCGAAAAGGCTTTAGCACCATAGACCACATACATACCCTTCGGCAAATTGTACAGAAGTCCGAGGAGTACAATTTGCCACTATGTCTGGCGTATGTGGACTATGAGAAAGCCTTTGATTCCGTCGAAATTTGGGCGGTGCTGCAGTCCCTTCAGCGATGCCAAGTTGACTGTCGGTATATCGAAGTGTTGAAGTGCTTGTACAGTAGGGCTACGATGGCTATCCGAGTACAGAACCAGAGTACGAAACCTATCCAATTGCAGAGAGGTGTAAGACAGGGTGACGTCATATCCCCGAAACTCTTTACCGCTGCATTGGAAGATGTTTTCAAGCTTCTGGACTGGAAAGGATACGGTATAAACATCAATGGCGAGTACATCACTCACCTTCGATTTGCCGACGATATAGTCCTTATGGCAGAATCGCTGGAGGACCTAAGCACTATGCTCAATGACCTCAATAGTGTTTCCCAACGGATAGGTCTTAAGTTGAACATGGACAAAACAAAGATCATGTTTAATGTCCATGTCACACCTATGCCGGTAGTTGTTGGGAACACTAAGCTCGAAGTTGTTGACGAGTATGTTTACCTGGGACAAATAGTCCGACTAGGTAAGTCCAACTTCGACCGAGAGGTCAATCGACGGATTCAACTCGGTTGGGCAGCGTTCGGGAAGCTACGACACATCTTCTCGTCAGCTATACCTCAAAACTTGAAAACGAGACTGTACACCCAGTGCGTATTGCCAGTGATGACATACGGAACTGAGACGTGGTCCTTCACTGCTGGCCGGATGAGGAAGCTCAAGGTCGCTCAGCGAGCTATGGAGAGGGCTATGCTCGGAGTTTCTCTGCGTGATAAACTCAGAAATGAGGATATCCGCAGTAGAACCAGAGTGACCGACATAGCCCAACGGATTAGTAAGCTGAAGTGGCAATGGGCCGGCCATATAGCTCGAAGAACCGACAACCGATGGGGAAGAAAGGTTCTCGAGTGGCAGCCTCGTACCGGCAGGCGAAGTGTAGGGCGTCCCCCCACTAGATGGAGTGACGACCTGGTAAGATATGCAGGAAGTCGATGGATGCAGGTGGCTCAGGACCGTGCTTTGTGGCATTCTTTGGGGGAGGCCTATGTTCAGCAGTGGACTTGTGAAGGGCTGTAATGATGATGATGATGATGTAGATGATGGTAATATTATGGGAATTATCGGGTCCAGGACCAACATTACCTTACTATAAGGTATGAACGGCATTTTTTGTTCTTTATCAGTTATGTATTATAGATAAGATAGGTCGAAACTGTACTAAAACAGAATCAGAACGCCCGGACTCCACGTATCTGCCCTACCGCTAGAGAGCTTTTGTAAAGCCGTAGGCGCGGAGGGAGAGCAGCCCCCGCCCACTATGGCAAATCGCAGGCATCTGTGCAAGCCTTAGAGGCTGAGGCTGGTATTACCAATAAGCCGAAGCTGCGGAGGTAAGCACGGGTGCCTGTGATTTGCTACGCAAGTGCGAAGGGGCTGCACTCCCCGCAGCGCCGTAGCCGTTGTAGAAGTAACTACGTCAATATTCCTGTGTAAAAAAGTTAGGTTATGATTTTACAAAAAAAATATTACTCATAAACTGTACATTTCCGCAAAGTGGGAGGGGTAGGAGGGCTTCCCCAGAACCCTACCCCTCCTCCCACCCCCGTACGCAAGCACCGCATGTCTATAGTTTTACCATTTTCAGAAGAAAACCTGAATTTTGCATCAGCTTTGTTCTGAATATCGACTTTATTTTATTAGAGGCGCCTTGTCATTGCATATACTTGCAGCACCTAATTAGCACTGAATTCCTTGCTATTAATATTTAACGTATATCTAATAACTTCATTGCGTTGCTAGCGATACGTTTTCCTAGCAACGCACATTTTAAGTTCGTTGCGGTGAAAATTTTACAGCACCTAATTTTGAAAATTGGCACCTAATTAGCACCTAAAAAGCCCCTAATTTTGGGCTTTTCTAAATGCAAATTCCTGACTTTGCGTTGCTGGCGATACACATCAACTCTTTTGTTACGCCAAGACAGTGCGATTTACCATCTAGGATTTCATTACCAGTTACTACCAGGTGGGATTGTGGTCAACCACTG